TTTTTTTTACTTTTGGAATAGCTAAAGTAGGTGCAATACTAAAATCAACTGGATCAGTTTCAGCATCAGCAAAAGCTAAAAAGAAAGATGAATTTTTCGATATTTATATAATGATGAATTTACCAATAATACGAGCTAATGGTTTACAACCAAGTTTATCAGCTGCTTGACGTGTCATTAATAGACAAACAGCTGCACCATCATTAATTTTTGATGCATTTGCTGCTGTAATTGTTCCATCTTTTTGAAAAACAGTTCTTAACTATTTAATAGAATGAATTTCAGTACATATTTAAAATTAACGTTTTCTAATTTACAGTTTTCATTTTTTCAAAATCAACTTTTTTATATTCTTCATCTTCTTTTACAATAACGTCACCTTTCTTTGTAGTTATAGTTACTGGTATAACTTCATCTTTAAATTTTCCTTCTTTCCATGCTTTAGCTGTTCGTTCATATGATTGTTTGGCATAATTATCTTGATCTACACGACTAAGACCTTCTTTTTTTGCTGTCTTTTCTGCACATAAACCCTAGATTGATCGTAAAAATATTAACAAATTAATAATTGATTGAAATTTTACCATTGGAATTTTATCATAAACATCAGTTAATCCATCTTTAGCAATACCATCTTCTAATTGAAGAGTTCCGTATGGTGTATCACCTAAAAACGATAATAAATTTTAATTTAAATCAATAAAAAAAGATATTTCATTCTTACCTCGTGGAAAATAATAGGGTACATTTGACATGCTTTCCATACCACCGGCAATCATAACTTCTTGATGACCACACATAAGACTTTGTGAAGCCATCATAATAGCTTTCATACCACTTGAACATACTTTATTAACTGTTGTACATGATGTTTCTTTTGGTAAACCAGCATACATTGAAGCTTGTCGTGCTGGTGCTTGACCAACACCACCTTGAACAACATGACCCATATAAACTTCTTGTACACGATTGCCTGGTATATCTATGAGAAATAAAAATAGATTAAAAATTTCAGTTCAGCTTATTTTTCTTACTTGCTTTTTCTAAGCATGCTTTGATTGCTGCAGCTCCGAGTTTAGTGGCTGATACAGATGCAAGACTTCCACGAAATGAACCAATTGGTGTTCGTACGGCACTGACAATAACGACTTCCTATTTTGAAAAAGACGAGAATTCTTTTTTTTGTTAAAAACAAAAAATTTACATTGAGATTAGGACTGGTAGACGCAGATCGATATTGATAACCAACATGTGAGATCTAAGAAAATATATGTGCTTAGAAATTAAATAAAATAGAAGTATTACTGGAGCACATGTTAATGTGCAATTTGAGCTTAGTAATCGTGAAGCAGCAGAAAAACTTAGTCGTGAAATCATCTAGAAGAAAAACAACAACAGAACTCAATTGATGCCGATAATGCTAAACTGTCTTCTGATCGAAAACAAAATAGACGAGTGACTGACGGCGAAATAATTCTTGATTGGAATATTTAAATAACAAATAAATCAATAGAAACAATACTACTAGCGCCATCTATAAAATATTTCAACGAACTATCCATGTGATTGAAATTGATGTGATTCCTTTTCTTTAGAGAGTTATTTCTTTAAACAATCAAATACATCAATAATAAACTTATTTATATATAATCATTTAAAAAAAAAGAAATTAGGAACTATTATTTTTATAAAAATTAATTGTCATCTTCCTCTTCTTCATTTTCTTCTTCTTCTTCCTCCTCTTCTTCTTCTCCAGCTGCTTGTTCTTCGGCTGCTTTAGCTTTAGCTTCATCTTCTGGTAATGGATCATCAGCTTCAGCAATTTCTGGTCCATCGTTATATTCATTAGCTGGTAATGGTGGTAGTTCTGGTCCATAATCAGTTGTAACATATTTATGTCCGAAACCAATATATATATTTTCCCAAGCCATTCCACGAGCAAATGCATATGCACCAGGCCAAAGATTTGATCGAATAATAGCACATGCATATTGTGGAATGAGATTAGAAGATATTTTTGCAGTCCATGCTTTTGTACTTTCAATTTCAGCATCAGCACCAATAGGTGTTAGAAGAGGTGGACCTTGTTCTGGTTCAATTTCTTCAGCTTCAGCTTTCATTTCTTCTTCATCCTCATCTTCATCTTCCTCGTCTTTTTCAATATTTTCAGTTGGATTCCACCATTTTGTACGACCTTGTGGAAGAACATATTGTGCATGATGAACCTGAGAACCATTTCAAAATAAATATTTATCAAAAATAAAGAAGTTATTATCTTACCCATCCGTTTAATTCTTCATCGACTAATTCTATCAATGCTGCTCCTTTAAAATCTTCATTATCTTGATAATTTTCTCGACCACCTTCTTCTTCTTCCTCTTCTTCCTACAACCGAAAACAAATTCATACTTTAAATTTCAAATTTATTTTGTTTTTTACTTCAGAAAATCGAAATTTTCCAGCAGGTGATATATGTGTTGCTGCACTAATTCTGGCAATTTGAGCACGTAAATAATTTTTTTCTGTACCGGGATATGCTGGATATGATATAATTTCTTTATTTAAATCACCTGTAAAAAAATGTTTTATTAAACGTGCTTGAGTAATTTGTGCTGGTGTAACTGTTGGTAATTTAATCCAAGGTGCTCCAGCTATAAAAAGAAACACATACTTTATATTTTTAATTTAAATAAAATAACAAGAAACATACGATGATTGCAAACATAATAAGTAGATTTATTAACACCTGTACCACGTTCTTCTTTTGGTACGACTGGTGGTGATTTGAATGTTGATTTTGGTAATGGATCTTCTTCACCTTCAATATCTTCTTCATTATTTTCTTTAGTTTCGTCTGGTTTATTAATTTCATCATTATTTCGATCTTCATCATTACCACCTTCTTCAACGCTTTGCTCAACTTCCGCAACATAATAATTTTTCTGTGTACCAAAAAGTTTACCCCAAAATCGTATTTTTTCAATATGACCTTTATCAACTAGTTGTTTAAGTGAAAGCCAAATTCTACATAGTAAACAAAAGCATTTGTTTTTAATAGACTAAATTTGATTTATTATCATCTACCGGTATGATTCATCTTTACCAAGACCAATACCAGATTGTTCAAAATAATAGGCTTGTTCAAGAATGTATGGTAATGGAGATTGTAATGCTTCATCATCAAGTTCTTCGGTGTGATCAGTTTTCTATTTTAATAAAGAATAAATCATATTTCGATAAATAAAAATGAATACTTGAAAAAGTGGTTTTTGTTCTTCAGCTAAAATATGTTCTGTATCTTGTGCTGGTCGATCTCGTAATGTATCTTGTTGAGGACGAGTTGATTCACCTTTGATATTTTTACTAATTTCTTCAAACATATCAGCACCTTCTTCTAGAAAAATTAGACAAGTTTAACTTTTTGTTAATTTAGAAAATTAGTTTTATTTACGTGGTTGATCCGCTAGTAATCGTGATATACAATGTGCAAGATGGTCATATCTAATGAAAAAAGTTTATTATCTGTTAACAATAAATATATATATTTACAAATTGAGTCCATCTTTTGTTGTTGTAGATAGGATATATGCTTTAGCGTCAACATAATGTTTCTCTAAATCATTTATATCTGGTGTTCCAACTGATTGTTGTTGATCTATATATGTATACATATGATTTTTATTATTATATATTATTCGATAGAAATCAAACCTTCGAAAAAGGTATTAATTGTGGTGCTCATTGTTGGAGTAATATGTCAGAAGTGTTTGATTTTCTTTTTTGTAATACTGTCTTTTGCTTCCATGGTTTCAATAATGTTGCTTCCTAACAACCATCCTCCTCCTCCTCCCGATTTTATTTTTCTTCATTCCTTTCTGATGGTGTCGCTCGCTAAAGGTGTGAAATAGGCACCCTCCTGAAGTCTTCTTGTGACAGGTGAGTAGCAAATCTTTCGATTGTTGATCATTTTTTATTCGAGAATAAAGTGATGATTTCAATCAATTGAAGAGAGTTTGTTCGTTACACTTGTCTCTCCGCCCACCCGCAATTAGTCGGTGTGAAACAATTTGTCAATGTATACATGTCTCTTTCTCTTTCTCGAAGGATCAAACGATAGTCACCTGCGAGATACATAAACTATCCTACCACCATTGTTGATAATGAATAAGCGGCAAAATCGAGAAGTGATATGGTGATTTAACGAATGTTTGATTGTCAAATACAAATAATGAGAAAGAAATAAATCAGCACATTTAAACACACTTATCAAGGCTAGTTGAATAGAGAGCGATGGAGAGAGACGGATGGTCGATTTGACCCTCCTGTGTTAAATCACCATTGTCTTTATTTCCTTTTCACCTTACAAACAAGAAGGATTATAACACACATACATAGATATAGATATATACAATCATACACCCGTGCATGTTCTCGAATGCACATGTTGACTTGAACAATGATGCTCGTGTATGTACTGTGATTATCCTTTTTCTCTTCACCTGAAATAAAGTCAAATTTCATGTATGTGACAAAAATTAAATCCTTCCGATAGGTCATCATCAACGTTAGCTACTGTATTTTTAACTTTCTTTGAACTTCATTTGTACATATATATACATATATATACATACATACATGTATGTATCGAACTCAATTTTTCTCTTATATGTTTACGTAAGAGCAAAGATTGAATCAGTATTTTAATCGATCTAATAATTGAGAATGTGTCACATGTGATCAACAAAGCGGCAACAATCATTTCAAACCAAATAACACTTTCTCTTAAATACACGCGTTCAATCGCTTCAAAAGAACTTGTTCGTCTGTCTATTCGTTCAAAGTGTAATTTGCAAATAACAGACATACTAATAAAGAAACAAAAAAAAAATAAAATCTCTCTTTCGATATATATATATATAAATTGACAAATAACTAATTTCATATTGACACGCACGTTTGATTGTATGCTTGTGTTCTATTTGACAGACAAAATAATATTTTTGAATTTTTTTTATTTTCTGTTTGCCAAAAAAAAACAAGATGAACATAATTATAAACACAAATGTGATGTAACTGTATTCATCAAACTGTCACCTTGCGAAAAAGTATACTGTTGAACTTGTTCGATCATGTTAGGAGATTAGTGAGAAGAAGGAGATGACATCAGAGCGGATCTCTTACTGGCTCAAACTCACACGTACCGATTTCAATGGTATATAATGATCGATTTTTTTTTCTCTTCTTTTAATTTGTGCCGCCCTGTTTGTTGTCGGACTTGTCATTGTCCATCACTACTAAAATTTCATTTTGAAACAAGCAATTCGATATCTCAAAGGATACCTTCTTGCCTTCGACCTCCATCAATGTACGTGTCTTCTTTTTTTCTTCTTCTTCTTCTTCTTCTTCTTCAATCATATAAGCAGCTTAATGCAAAAAAAAAATACATGATTATATGTATATATATTCTGTAGACTTGTATTCAGTTCCTCTTTTTTTTTTTATTTCTTATATTGACTTGATTATTCCGCTACGAATATCGATACTAATAAAGTCATACTAACAAATATATGCACACGCGTGTGTGCGTGCAATATTGACCGAGCACGATCAACATTCGTTCGCTTTTGTCATTCAAATAGTAACAGGCACTAATCTTTGACAGGCAGGTAGTTTCGCTCTCTCTCTGCCTCTTTCTCCCTCCTCGCTTATTTGTTTGTGGTCGTCGATTGAATGGAACCAGTAATATAGTCAGTCGAATAGCAATTTTCTTCTTTAGCAAATAGAGCATGCATAAATGTCTACTGACGATTATAAAAATCTTCGAAAAAGAAAGAAAAGGGAACCTACATCATACAATCATATGAGTAGTGAAGCTTAGCACAAGGATCTTGAATACGCGAAAACGGCGACGACATTTACCTATCGATTGACGAGGTCGACTATATTCACAATTCTATTGTCTTCTTTTCTTTTCACATATCATTAGGAGATATATACTTTTAGACAATGACCAATTATTGTTCATAGATGAGAATAAAAGTGTCTATGTATGTATGTATGTGCTCATCTTTATTTTCAATTTTATCTCTTTTCTTCTTCGTTTTTTTCTTCTTTTTGTGTTAAAGTTGACATGTAAAATTCATTTTATTTTAATGTTGATTTAGGATGAAATCACCTTGCTTACTTTCATTTTCTCTCTATAACTTTTGCCTCGGCATTTTACCTATATAAAAAAATAACAAAAAAAATCGACAAAAAGGTGAATACTCAAAAGAAAATTTTGCGAACATGAATTGTATTTTCACTTTGTATTGACTTTTTTTCTTTTCATTCGAACCAATGAGAATAAACTTGCCTTTTTTCTTTTAATGTCATGAGCCAAACTCGATGGATAGAGAAAAAAGAGAAACAGAGAGAGAGAGCGAGAGGCGAAGAGAAAGAGAAAGGAAATATATATACATAGACATATCAAACACCACCCAATGAATTGATTTTGTATGCATACTATTCTCTGAATGGTGGTTCGACTTTTTGTCGTTCTCTCTTTTCTCTTTTAACATAAAGTGGCCTATCCATTTCAGAATTTTTATTTCATCAATGAACGGACATCGACAAATGAATACAACATCTAGTAAATTAATATGAAAAAAAGAAACATACATAATTCTCTTATATATTTAGGTCGAATTTTGACTGATGTTCCTTGTAAAGTATGTCATGATAATTCATCAGGCAAACATTATGGGATATTTGCATGTGATGGGTACGTTATTTTAATTAAAAAACGAAACGAAATAGTTTTAGTCTAATCTTTTACTTTTCTTTTTCTAACTAAAATTTATTATAAGGGTATGTGCCTTATCTATTGTTCGTTTATATATGTTTTATGTATTGATTAATTATGATAAACATCACACGTATCTCTTTTTCTTTCTTTAATAATAGATGTGCTGGATTTTTTAAACGCTCAATTCGACGAAATCGGCAATATGTATGTAAAAATCATGGTTTAGGAAATTGTCCAGTGGATAAAACTCATCGTAATCAATGTCGAAGTTGTCGTTTAACACGTTGTATAGAAGCTGGAATGAATAAAGAAGGTATTTGTTTATTTTTAATTTTCGTTGTAGACAGAATCGCTCTTAGAAGAAAATTTGACACGGGTTTTTTTCTTTTACTTACTCAACACTACTACTTCATCGAATATTTATCCACTTCAAAGTGTGTTAGTTCTTGAAATGACTAAATGAAAAAACATACCTAAAGCGAAAATAACTTTTTACTTTTTTTTTTCTTCTCTCTACGATAGCTGTTCAACATGAACGTGGACCTAGAAATTCAACAATAAGAAGACAAATGGCGTTATTACTTAAAGAATCGAGTGATTTGATTAGTGCATATCATCAACAACATCATTTTCATCATCAACGTCATCATCCAATGCCACCATCATTTCATCATCCATTATCTTCTTCTTCATCTTCATCATCAACAAATGGAATTGATTATAATAATGTTCCAATAAATTCTTCTCTTATACATCCAACACCTAAATATCCATTAGATTTACGTACATCAATTACAGAACATCCATTTGATGCTCATGAATCAGCTGCTAGAATATTATTTAGTGCTATTAATTGGGCTAAAACTGTACCTGCATTTGTTTCCTTATCCAATCATGATCAAGTATAAAAAATATTTTTTCTCTAATTATTCTATATATTCTTTTTCTCTTATTAAGCTTTCATTACTTGAAGAAGGTTGGCGTGATTTATTTATTTTAACAGCTGCTGAACAACAATTTTCATTGAATACTACTGAACTGCTCAATAAATCAGGTAAGAAAATTTTTTTTATTTGTTTTTTTCTTCATATTAATTATGTTTTAGGCAAATATGAAAATCTTAAGTCAGATATCGAATATTTTCAAGATTTATTAATAAAATTAAAACATATGGAAATTGATTCCAATGAATTTATATGTTTAAAAAGTCTTGTCTTATTTAAAACTGTTCTAAGCAATTGTCAAACAATGACAAATCCACAATTAAATGATCTACATAGCATTGCTTATTTACAAGAACAAGCTCAAATATTATTAAATACATATATAAATAAACAATATCCATCTCAACCACATCGTTTCGGCAAATTAATTCATTTACTTGCTGGTTTACGTTCAATATCATCGATAACAATTGAAGAACTTTTTTTTCGTCAAACAATTGGAGATAAAACACATATGGAACAACTTGTTAAAGATATGTATCAAATAAATATGGCAACAATTGTAGCGAATTCATCATTGTCTTAGACAAGAATTCTTTTTTTTGCTCTTTCGCGATCTTCTTGTTCCCGGTTTTGGGTATCAATAATTCTCATTTTTCTTTTCTCTTTGGGTTTATTTTTTTTACACAGTGCTATTTACGGGCCATTTTTGTTTCTCTCTCGGGCACTTTTCTTTTTATTGTCATCATCATCAAAATTTTCGTTTTTCTTTTCTTTCTTGTACTACTTGTTATCACGAGATGAGTTGAATAAAGAATTTGTGTATACACTATATTGCCTGATACATTCTCTCCGGAGGCAAAATTAAAAAATGGAACAGTCGTTATTGAGTTTTAATCTATGTTAAGAGACAGAGAGAGAGAGAGAAGGAGAAAAAGATTTAAGACATGTTCTCACTCTCATCAACTTTAATTTGAGTCAAGTGTCACAAAATCGGAAATCAACGTTTTTCTTTTTTTTTTCGCTGACTACAATGGGGTGGAGTCGAAAGTGAAGACATCACCTTCGCTTTTACGCGCCTGTCCGATTTGACTACCATTGATAATTGGTAGGGGTCATCTTACTTATTTCTAATGAAGACAAGCATAGCCTATAGTTGATGATTTATCAGATGAATGAACTCTGTTAGTGTATGTGTCGCGTCAACATGAGTCCACACGTGTCTATTCGATGATCGGTAATAACAACATTGAATGCGTCAAATTTAGCCACAAGCTCAAATTGTCACTAGAGAAAAAATATGAGGAGGAGAAGAAGAGAAGTAGGCGGAGGAGATGATTTGAAAATTCATCAAGCACAAACTTCATTTGATTATATAATCAATGCATTCAACCTTATGTATATTGTTTTGTAAATATCACTTTCGATATGAGAACTTGAACATATCCCAATGGAACGATTGGGAAAAAAACATTGTTTTGTTAAACACCAAAAAAACAAACAAATAAATTCCAATGATATTATTTTTTTTTAACAAAATAACACTTGACATTTTTTTATTTGTATTCATGGGTTAAGTATCTGATCTTCTTTAACTAATCAACTATTTAGGACCACCTAACGAGTGAGACTAGTGGTTGAATCCGGATTAGTTTTGAGAGAGAGAGAAAATATTATATCGAACTTCTATTCAATTGGTATGATGATGATGAATCAGTTAAGCAAAAATAACAATTAAAGTTTTTTTGTTCATCATCATAGTTCGTGTTCTATAATTACACGTGAGGGTATTGTCCATTTGTTCGTCTTTGTTCTTTTGTATGTATATATGTACTTACATGTCTCGTCCACCTTCAATTTTGAGTCTCTCTCGTGTGCTCAATATGTGAAATTGCCTTGAGGGTATAATAGTAAAAGAGACCAATGGCTGATCATTGATTGTTAATTGGGGACGAACGACTAATTACTGGCTAGTCTAGTATCAATTACACGGCGAAGAAATTTATTCTCTTTCAATTAAATTCGAAAGTAACAAAAAAATTCTTTCTTTCTTTCTTTTTGCCATAAGCTTATTTATATATATTAAAATCCATCAAGCACAAATATTCAAGAACTGACTGACATCATACGATTAGATAATCAAATTTATTGAAGCGAATAAATTTTTTTACAAACAAATATATATATATGAATCACAATCTTTTATGAGCTTTTACATCACCAGTATAAGCTTTAAAACGAGTATTAATTTGAGTACGACGTTGTCTGACTTCAGCTTGAAGTTTTTTCAACTAAAAAAGACGAAATATACGAAAAAAAAAGAATTCATTGATTTTTTTTTTACTTCACGAAGTTCAAATTCAGCTTGATGTTTTTCTTCAGATGCATTTCCTCGTGGTAGATTACGACGTGCAAGCATTTTTCCAGTTATTTCACGAATACGAGCTTGTATTTGTCGATCACGTATAAGTCTTTCAAAAAACAAAAAATAAGAAATTCAAGTTAGAACATGATTTACCGATTTTCTTCTTCTTGCATAGCACTTTCTGGTGAACGATTACGTCGACTTTCATATTTAACTGCTCGTTCAATCATTTCTTGTTGATCTTTATCCATGACATGAATATAATTTGGATCAATACCAAATGGAGCTTGTCTAACTGCTTCTGGATAATCTATTTTTTATTTTTCGTAAATAAATTTATTTTAGAATATTTTCAAAAAATATATACCTCTGCCTTTAACCAGATGTTTTCGACGTAATTGTTGTTGACTAGAACGATAATCTTCTTTCCATTCATGTAATAATTCTTTACTTTTGATTTTTTCTAATTGTTCATTAATTTTTATATTACGATGCTTTAAAAACAAGATTCGCTTTTTTTTCTCCTCAAATATTAGAACTATGAAAACATACTTTTAGACGTATAAGTCGTTGTTCTTCTAGTGCTCGAGCTGCAAATGCATCTCCCACTGGATCATCGGATTTTGTTTTCACTGGTTGATTATTTTGTTTTGCTATTGTCTTTATTTTTCTAAATAAATAAAAAGAATTAGAATGAAATAGTTCTCTTTCATTTAAATTAAGAAAACAACACTTGAAAAATGAACATAACACATGCACTTCATTATAATAGCAGGCAGTCAAGCATTGTCATACACAAAAAAAGAAACGAGAGAGAACACAAAACAGACTGCATAAATTTGTCAAAATTTCTTTTTACGCATAGTAAATTACGAACTTATCGAAATAGTTTGATATGTGACTTAATTGATTGTTCAACCGAACATAGATAAACAAAATACTGCTATTCATCGAAAAATTAGATCTCTTATCTGGGCTAATCAATATACATCCCACTAGAAAATGTGTAACTAATAAAATATAGGAATGCAATAGAACCTTTTTACTTGTCGTTGATTATTATTTTTTTCATCATCATCTGATGCCCATACATCTGGAACGATATCAGCATCGTGGTCTTCATAATAAATGTCATCATTAGGATCGTTTTCTTCATATGAAGATTTAGGTTGTCGAATAAATTCATCATGTAGATATTGTTGAATAGCTTTAAGACCTTGTTTAATAATTTCAGCTGGTGGATCAACTAATGGATTACCATCAAGATTAAGAGATGATAAACCTTTGACTGTACCTGAAATAATATTTTAATTTAGAAAATTAACAAAAAGAATTTTTTTACCAAGTTCATAGGGTAATGTTCGAATTAAGTTTCCGCCTAATAGTAAAGATTTTAATGAAGTATATTTAGCAAGACCATCGGTTGGAAGTTCTGTTATTTGATTATTTCGTAGATCGAGCCATTTCAAATATGGTAATTGAAGAAATAAATCATCTGGTAATTTTTTTAATTGATTACCTTCTAAATATAAATACTAACAAAGCAAAACAAAAAGAGATTATAATAAAATATTTAATATGAATTTACTTGTAACGAAGGAAAATATAATAATAGTGTAGGAAATTGAGAAATAGTTTTTTTTGATAGATCAAGACAATTACAATCTTCTTGTTGAGCTTTTGTTATAAATTCAATTAGAGCACTATCTTCCTGAGTTTCATTAATATGAAGATTGTCATCGATTTGATCATACAGATCGTCTGGAAAATCTTCGGTTTGTATTCTTTCTTCTTCTTCTTCTTCATCGTTATTTTCTTGATTTAATTCTGGTGATTGTGATAATGATAATTCATTTAAATCATCACAATTACTTAACGATTTATTATCATATTCTTCTCCATTTTCAACTAGATCCGCTTGTACTTCAATATCATTCGTCGTCATCAGATTAATTTTATTTTGAAATATAAATATACTTTTACTCGCACCATATTTTATTTGCTTCGACCACGTGTAGTCTAGCAACCATGCATAAATATAGTTCAGAATCTAACGCCATCTTCCATTAAGATTAAGACACAAACTTGCTCTACGTTTAGCAACAATACTACTTCTTGAAAGAAAAGTGATATAAAATGTACATTACGAAAAAATTAATTATAACTTATTTTCATTCTAGCATCTATCAATATCAAAAAATAGGTACAGAATTCTTTAGATAGTGTAGAAATATACTTTTCTATTATCGGAATTGCCAAACAAGGCGCGCGAAAAGTCATAGCGACCTAAGATTTTCACCATTTAGTAAAGGACAGTCGGGAGCATATGCCTATGCATGAAAATTATTTCCTCAAAGTACCAGCCATAGCTAGTTTCAAAAAAACTGGTTTTTAATATTTTTCGCTGTGATTTTTATAGACTATTATGAAAAAGAACCATGAAACTACTGAAATAATTCCAAAAAACACTCCTGTAAAACTTGTTAGTTTTTCTAAAGATTCATCTACTAAAATTAATTTGAGAAGATACGTTGAGAAAATAGTTTTCACGCATAGGCGTGTGTTCCCGACTATTCTGCATTGAATGGTGAAACCGGCAGGTCGTTATGCCTTTCCTTTTGAACATTGTAAACTTTTTTCCACGCACCTTCCTAAAATTCCGATCTCATAATACTATAATTTAAACGCTAATTCTTGTCTACCAACGATTCTTATGCATTACAGAAAACAGTAAACATGCTCAATTCAATATAGAATCTTTCGAAAATGATATTAAATAGACCGTATATTGATAAAATGCAGTCATCAGTATAAACAATTGTTTCAACATGAGTTAAACTTCAAGTTAACTTGTTGCATGTGAAACTGAATGAAGTTCAATCGTAATGGATGGATTGAAGGAACTATATTATATATAGAATAAGAAACCTTTCCAAGTATTATAAAATATGAAGAAGATTTTGAACGTGATACCTAAGTAAGATGGTTCGATAAGGAATGAAGAAGCTGTATGTTAGCAAATAAATTGAATTTGATCACAAGGATAAAAATCGAACTTGATTTTTTTCTTTTCCCGCTAGATTACTATTGGTTATTTCTTATTTTTATTATGTCATCATCAACTACTCGTGATTTTACTGAATTTCATTTAAATAAATCTCATCCTAATTTAACTGTTTATGAAGAGAAAGAAAACGCACAAATAGTACATCATAATTTGAAATCGATTCAATATAATAATAGCAAAATAATGACTCAATTATTTCATCATTTACATCGACCTCTTCCTTCATACTTTCGATCACGTCAATTCAATACAAAAGAATGGTTTCTTGTACAAACTAATGATATTTTATTAGAAAAATAAAAGTTCATTATTTAAGTTTTAGCTTCTTTATTGACATTTCCTTCTCCTTCTTCTTCTGTTCTTATAATAACAGGTGGTGGTGGTCGTGGTGGTAATTTTATTCTAGGTAATTGTCGAATTACAACACTAGGTCGAGAATCTAGTGATCCATTCATTGATTCGATAATATTATCAACTCGATTATATGGATTGGATGGCATAGCATTTATTATAGATTTTGAAAATATACCATGTATATCAGCATGACGATATAATGAATTATCGATTGGAAGTGGTCTAAGTAGGAAAAATTAATGAGAAATCAAAGTATAGATTTAAATTCTTCTACCTATGAGCGTCGCCTGATGTTGTATAAGCATCACCAAATTGATCATGATAGGATACAGGACCAATTTTACTCCAGTGTGTATGTCCTGTATAAAATGGAATATTTGGCTTACTTAAATGAAAAGATATATCATAAAAATAAATGAAAAAAAAAGTAAAATATACGATGAATTCATTGTATATTTTGGTTGATTAGTTCGAAGAATAGTATAAGGCTTAAAATCAACTGCTGGATTATCAATATCTTGTAAATTAGAACCACCAATTGAACCTGAATAACCTGATATTTGATGTGCACGTGGTAATGGAGCAACACAATTAACAGGTTTTCGATAATAATTAACCTGTCGTGGTTGTGTACGATCCCATTTAAGAACATCACCTGTACGTATATCATAGAGTGATGAATGACTTTGAGATTTTAGAAATGGATCAGCACTATTAGCTTCATATTTTGCTGGTGAATCTTAGGTTTGTTATTAAAACAGATTATTTAATTCAGTATTTTAAAAAAATCTTACCGGATTTCGTCATAAAGTTTTGTTGCGATGCTGAACTATAGGTTAGATCAGGTTGAGATGTAAAAGAAACCTGACTTTGAATATAATCGTCATTGGAAACTGATCGATCAGTCAAACAGGAAGCAACTTCATTGTTAGGTCCTAATTCATGTCTGAAAAAATTATATTATTCTTATATATCGATTCGAAGTTTTTTTCTTAGATCTTACAAACCGAAATGTAGTAATCGTTGTAGGATAATTCTGTAGTGTTGTTAGTTCATTTGAAATACTTCGTTGAGGATTAACTTGAACCTTTTCCTGTGTGAGATTTCCTGTCGATTTATTAAACATATCGAATGGTCGCTGATAGGCTGTTCTAATCGGTGGAAAAGAACTGTTGTTTTCTTGTTTACGTACAATATTTTCAAAATATCCTTGTGTTCCATAACCCCCCACATTTGAACTATCCAAATGAAGACTAGTATTGACATTAGGTGCTCGTTGTAAATGATACTGACGTTTAGCTAGATTTTTATCAATAATGACGCGAGTATTACCGTCATTATTACGATAGAATGCATCTGAACTTGTTCTAGTTAAATGACTCGAACCCTCTGAACAAAAACGACGTGGTGATACAACTTGTGCCATAATCCACCGAGAAAACTACTAAATGTAAACTATTGCCATTCTCATGTTAAAATACTTGACAACAATTGCTATTGTTTTCGTTTTAATAGTTTCAATGTCGCTAGTAAATTAATAAATTTTAGAGACCTCTGTAGAAAATCACGATTAATCAAGGACAAAAATGTGTAAACGAGATGTCTCTATGACTATGCAATACAATGGAAACCATCAAAAATCAAATCACAACGATGAGAACTTAATGAATGAATACGTTCAGTTCAAATGATACAATTTCAGATTTTATACATTAGTCGTTTATAGAAATACTTATTCATATGTATCTGTAAATAATCTTTAACAGTATATAATTGGCAAATATAGAGGGGGCAGTTCGCGATTGACATATATATATATATATTATAATTATGTAAACAAATAGATCAATCATTCGAAACTTTTCTGCATCAACATGTTTAATGACACATAAAAGAAATATTTTTTTATTATTAAAAACAATTTTCTATACAAAAAACAGAAACAACGACTAGTAAACACACGCACGCACACACACACACGCGCACACTTAAGTTTTACAATAATTATACAATACTAGCTCGTGTCTGGTAATCAGATGTATTATTATACCATTCGAAATTACTAGATGATGAATTTGATGTTACTATATGATTTTTATCATCATTTGATATCGATGATTTTGTAAGCATTTTATCAAGTAAAATAATTCCATTAAGTAATGGTGGTGGTTGTGGTAATTTTGATTGCATATCTTTCGTTGATTGATTAAGCATAGTTTGTAAAGTTGGAAAACCATTTGATTCATTTCGAGAACAATCTGTTAATAGAACAGGTGTAGCTCTACTTGTTATTGTTATATCACGTTTATGATGTTTTGGTAATGTACTAAATGTTGAAGTTGTATTTTGAATTGAATTAGAACAAGTATCATTTGTTTGTGATTGAAGACAAATATTTTTTAAGGATTGACGTCGTGGTGATTTTCGAGTAAGAGTCGTAAGTGCAGATACAGTTGATGAGGAAGGCTGATGCTGTTGATGATGGTGATGATGATGTTGATGTGAACGATCAAGATCAGATGTCGATGATGATCCATTATTATAAGGACAAGAAAGTAAAGATGAAGAAAATTCACCGTCAGTTGTTGATGGACTATTACCAGATGGTGCCTGAGAATTCTAAAAGAAAGATTTATATCAAATTGAAAGACAAAAAATTTTTAGTCATCTTTATCTAATAGAAATCGAGAAGGTCACTAGTAACCACATGGCTATACTATATTCATTGTGCTCAGTTGAGCAAAAAAACAATCATCATCACTCGATTGATCATATGTATACGTATCCAACTAAAGGTCACTCTATTCAAAGTGTTGATATACACACTCCACATCCAAACAGAAAAAGAAAGTATTGACACTTTCAAGATATAAACATATCTATGCATAACTTACTTTTCTTTGTTTAGCAATAACAGTATAATTATTATTATGAATCGACGGTAAAATGACTGTTGCTGTTGTTGTTTTTGTTTGTGGACTATTTTGTTTTGATTTATAATCATCATTAACAATTAATCTACTACCATATAATTTTTTTTGTACATTTTTTTTAATACATAAATAATAAATAATTAAAAAACAAAGTAAACAAAGTGTTATAAATATGAAAATAAATATAAATAATATTGGAAATTTTTTTAATGTTTTACTCATATTATTAAATAAATATAAACCTAATGGATTATTTTGATAAATAATAATATGTAAATATTTTTTTGTTTCATATTGAAAATTTTTAGCTAAAAGTTCAATTGTATATGTACCAGGTAATATTGATGAATTTTTTAACCACAAAGAATTATTAAAACCAATATAAAAATGTTCATTATTAGAACTTAATAATTGAATTAATGAATTATTTCCTATATCATTATCACGTATAATTATATCGGTTATAAATTGTGAGGATAGATTATTAATATCAATACGTTGTGAATGATCATCAGAAAGTATATGACGAATTTCATTTGAATTAGGCCAAATAAATATCGGAGGATTATCATTAATATCCCTAATAAAAAAAAGATAAGTGAATTTTAAATACAAGAAAAAGAATATTAATCATACTGAATTTTAATTGTTACAGTTGTTGATCCAATTGTTGAATTATCTGTTGCAATAACTGTTAATTTATATTCATCTTGTAATTCTCTATCAAATATATATTGTGTCCAAATTTTTCCATTTTGATCAATAATAAATAAATCTTCATGATTACCTAATGAATAATTAATTATATCTCCATAATCTTTATCATATGCTTTAACTTGTCCAATAAATTTTATTGTTTCATTTTCATTTATTAAAAATTCATAATGATCATGTTCAAATACGGGTGAATATTCATTGATATTAATTATATTTATTTGTATATTTACAAATGATTCAAGTGATGGTTGACCATGATCATTTGCACGAACTTGAAATTTATATTCACGTTTATATTCATAATCGAATGATGTATTTGTTGATATAATACCATCATTTGATGTTATAGAAAAAAAGGATGATGATGGAATTATTGTATAGGTTATTTGTCCATTGACACCTTGATCATAATCAAAAGCATTGACTTGACCAATAATTGTTGGTATACGATTATTTTCAATTAAATCAAATGTATAATTTGTTTTAAATTCAGGTTTTTGATCGTTTATATCTGTTATATTTAATTCAAATGTCATTGAACGACGTAAACTTGGTTGACCAAAATCACGTGCACGTAATTCAACTTCATAGAATGATATTGTTTCACGATCAAATTGACGAAATGATTTAACAGCATAATAATTTAAACGAATTGTTTCAAGATAAAATAAACGATGTGGTTCTACTGTTAATTGTGACTAGAAGAAAAAAAGAGAAGATACAGTTTTACTATTGTAGTATACTACTGACTAAAGAAGAATTAGATTATAACATACTTTTCCATAATCGCTCGAATCTTGATCATCTACAGTAACAAAAGCTATCGGTAAATTAATATCAAATGATTCTTTAACATAAGCCATATTTCCATCAGAATTATGTTCAAATATTGGATTAAATTTCATTTGTATCGAAGGCGCATGATCATTTTGATCAAGAACATATACATATATAGTACATGTATCACTCAATGAATTTATTCCATTATCATATACTTCAACTTTCAATTGATATGATTTATGTAATTCATAATCAAGTGCTTGATCTAATGTTAATATACCTGTTATTTTATCCAAACGAAATAAACCATTATAATCATTTTCTAATATATAACGTAATTCAGCATTTGAAGCAATATCATTATCAATTGCATGAATTTTAAGTAAATATTCCGGTATAGTATTTTCTGCAACACTAATATTATAAGTAGGTGATTCAAATTTTGGTGGAGAATCATTAATATCACTGCAAAAAATGAGAAAAAAGTATAAAGTAAAAAAACAATCATTTTTTTTTCTTTACGTTATTTCAATAGTTAAAATTTGTGTACCAATATTTGGCGGATGACCGCGATCAATAGCTATTAATTTAAATATATATTTTTCAATACTTTCTCGATCTAATTTTTCTTTAACAATTAATTCTAATTCACGACTTTGACTATCATAAACAATTGAAAATTGATATTGTTCATATCCATTGATTGTTTCTAAACGATAATTATCAATTCCATATGGCGGTGAATCTAAATCAATAGCTGTTTCAAGTGGTATTCGATGACCAATTGGAACATTTTCAGCCATGAATATTTTCGCTTCTGTTTGAGAAAATTTCGGTATCATATCATTTATATCATGACATGATATTGGTTGAGATAAAATATAATTAAATGGTGTTTGATTAAGATTAACAGTTAATGTTAATGTAAAATTACATTGAAGAACATTTCCGCCTAAACATAAACGTTTTCGAACATAATCTTCTCGATCTAAACGTGATTTTAAACGTATATATCCATTAATATATTCAAATGGTTGACTTGGTTGACTATGAAGTAATGCAGCTTGATATGGATATACATCTAATGTTTGAAATATTGGACGAAGATCAGCAACAACTGATAATAATGGACTTTCTTCAAATATTGATACAGGTGAAAGAATTTGTGAAACAATTGAATACGAATATAAGATAAAAAAATTTATCAATAGAAATAACCTGAATAACATGTTCATAATGTATTGAGTATAAGAAACGGACAAACATACAACTATCTATAACGGAAAGAGGAAGAAAGAGAGAAGGAGAAAAAGAAAAGGAAAAGGAAAGAGAGGAAACAGCACAAATCAAAGGTATTAAGTAGAAAAGAGTGCTCTTTTAGATTTAGGCTTTTTTCTCTCCAGTGATTGTTTATCGATGAATTTTTAATGTAATAGTCTTAAAACTAGTACACATTTCTCTATGTTAAATGTCTTTAGTTTGTTTGTTGGTAATAATGATGGATACGACAAGTGAGCGTCTGTCTCGCTTATAATATAGTTCAAGGTTTCTTAGTAATACAGGAAATTATTGTATATAAGGCGGAATTCTTTTTTTTTCTTCTTCTCCTTTATGCATGAACGAAGTATTCGTCGTCACGCAATTATATGAGTTCGTTCATTCATAGTTCTTATCTCCATGTGATTTGTTCAATTGTATTTACCCGTCTCATCATACACAAGAGACAATAATTTTTTATGCAATAAACGGAAATAATCTATCCGTTAAATTTCAATAGAATAGAAAAGATGAGACTTTTTTTTTTCTCTTCTTTTCAACATGATCTGTTTATTTCTTGCAACATCGATCGTCTGTTTATCTCTTCTTTTCTCTTATACAGATGGATATAAAAATGAAGCCATATGTAATGAATTCTCTATTTCTATAGGGCAATAATCATCTCTTTGAACAACATTAGAGATTTATGGTTGAGAATATATGTCCATACGTTAGGTGTTGGATAGTAAATTGAATAAGTCGTTCTTTCAACTTGTGTAATGATTATTGATATATGAGAGTGGTCACATATGGACCTAAACATATAGTCAAAATAAACGTACAACGATTAAGCTCTAATTGATGGGATGTCATCAAGATACATAATCATCCTAGTGAACATGGTATGAATCTTCTTCTTCTTCTTGATATTACAACATTGCATGTCTATTTATTAAGATGAAATTGACACATGCAATATAACATGGAGAGCTAATGACGCATTTACTTCAAACTTATTATAGTTTACCTTGACTATAAAAAGAAACGAAAGGATTATTGTTTAAAATTGCATGTTAATTGTAATCATAATCATTTTTATAAAGCAAAAGAAAAACGGTGACCACCACAGGAATCAATCTAGCTAAAAATTAATCTTATGTAAGATAGACAGAAGACGAAGAAGAAGAAAAAAAGAGATGATCAATGAATGTACTTGTAACAGCAGTATCTCTTCCCACCATAAATTTTTTTGTTTAATATATATATATGAGATTGTTTCTTTCTTATTGCACGCGTCTTTTGTTCTGGTCAAATTAACTCGTTAATCGATATGTTGGGAAAAACTAATGAAATCACTCTTTTTTTTTGTTTCTTTCATATAGTAAAAAAAGTGTTAAGATTCATATATGAACAATAAAAGAAAATATATATATGCAATATATATAGATCATGTCAGTTACTCTTATTTCGAATTAACAAAATCATGATTACATCATCGATATCCTAATGTGTTCATAAATGTCAATTGTGCGTTAAAAACACAGCATGTATGAACGTGAAAAGACATCATTGTATGTACGTTTGTCAATATTACAGCCTTGTAATGAACAAGCATGTGGTGTTAGTAGCAAACAAAAATCATCTAATGATTATTTCTCTTTTCTTTACAAAAGCAATAATAAAGTTCAAATACGATACTTAACGTTTCATACTAATGTTAATATCTCTGTCAAGCACAATGAATCAGTGATCAATTGGCGTGTGTATAAAAGGCGGGCAGATGACTAGTGTGTAACATGTCAACGCGTATGCAATCAAAAATGGACATTTTCTTCTTCAAGGATGGACGATTTAATGCTGTTGATGGGACTCGTGGGAATGCACCTGTTTGACTAAAATAAAATAGAAATGTCAATCTATGTGCATATGTTATAAATATTCTATTTCAATAGATGTGATGACCATACCTTGATACTTATGTTCCATTTAGAACATCCACTTAGAAAAATAATATTGTTTATTGCTCGTGCTGTTCTTTTTTTTATCTTTCAAATGAATCTTTATTTCGAACAAAATTAGATATAAAAAGTGTGTTTAATTGATATAATAAAAGGTGAAAAGAATTTTATCGTTATTATAAAAACTGTGTTAAGTTACGCTTGTTTATTTTTATATTGAACCAATGTGTGTGTGCTCTTTTTTTTTCTTAACTCTGATTAACACATAGAATAATATGTATGAGATATATATATATTTTTCATGGGAGAAATATCAGCTGTTTTTATATGTTGAGATAATCTTGTCTTTTCAACAATAGAAATAGATTGTTTAAATTTATGTTTCATAATCATCAGATTGAGAATAGAAGCAAGAATTGAACAAAAAAATATGTAAATAACTGAAGATTTATTTATAGGATATTATATATGTATTGAAGTTTCATCAATTGTATCATTATTACATTCATGGTTGAACGAATTGTGTGAGATAGTTTTTAGAATTTGTTGAGATTTATTAAAAAATCTAGACAAATATTTTACTAATCAGTTTTTGGTATATACTAGTTTGATTTTTATTTTTTTCCACTCTATGCTCTAAAAAAGAACGGTAGATTTTGATCAAAATATTGATTGTCGCTACACTCATATTGAAAATTTCATGCTGTAGTTTTTAATATAATAAAATCCGTCTTCGATATTCGTCTGTCAGATAATAAATGATTTATTTTACTAAACAAAAACTAATCATGTATTTTATAATAAGTTCAATTAAATATCAATAAGCCTTGATATGTCAGTTATTATAGCACGTTTTATTTTTCTACTATTATCTACCGATTATATACATACACACTATTAATAAATACAAAAAAATATATCATCAAAATATGAATAACAACAGTCACGAGTTTTTTGTTTTTTTGCAATATAACATCACATACATCAATCATCGAATTACTATGAGATTGTTGACTTAAAATAAAAGACATTCTTTTCGTCTGTACGTCAAGATATGTAAATCGATAGGAAAATATGTTAAAATCTTATGCAAATATAAACCTAGATAAATAAATAAATAAATATTTTGTTATTGAATACATAAGCTGGTTTTCTCCTCCTCGTTGTTTACACTTCATTTATAATTAATAATGAATATATCGATTCATAGATGAAAATAACAAAATAATATAGATACGAAAAGAAGAAAAAAACAAGGATATTCGACAATCAAAATAATAAAAACAATGATGAATCACAGAATCACGAGATATAATTATGTTTATTTTATTCATATTAAAAAATACCATTCCTATACTCCCACTCAAGTCTGGTTTATACAGTATTTTTTGATTTCTTTGCCTCAACTAAACAGAATGTAATTACTATGTGAATATTGAATCTAAACATGTATTTATGGTCTATTCAGATTTTTTGACAAGTATATTATAATACGTCTTTATTTAAGAAAAAGTCTAGCTAAAATGTTTATAAAAAGAAGGTTAGAAATAAAAAAGAAATGTTGAATAATGATTCTTCACATTTTATGAAGACAGAATACTTATGTTTGAAGTAAAAGTTACAATTTTTAGTAGTACTTTTGAAGATAGGAAATCTTTTTTTTCTTTTGATATGATCTTCTATTAGTTATAAAATTCAAGTTGTGTAAAGTTACTTTTTGAAACACCTTTTTTTTTCTCTCCTATTAGATCTATTATCTTAATTCGTTACGATAGCTCAATCAATCATATGTTTACTACACTTATTATTTTTGTCATATTAAAATGCAATATAAAGAATAAATATATCTGAGGAAGTATTTTCAATTACTACGCACATTCAAGTACTCAATCATATGACAAGGACATCTCTCTAATTAAACAGTTTATAGTATTTATAAAGTATTTTTCGCAATTAGATGAAATGAGCCGAATAAGTAGACATCACACAATCTTGACAGGGTTGTTTTTCAATAATTACATTATTTGAAATCAAATACATGTCCTTCATAATATAATACATTTCAAATTACTAATAAATATTTTTCCCTTTCTGGGAATCTTTATTGAACTTTGTTAAGAACAGATATCAATATATATATATATCTATGATAATTAGAATATATGTGACAAAATATGCACTTTAAGATAGTTTTCTGATATAAACTGTTTTCTTTCTTTTGTACGTCATTTAATAAACATAAACCGTTTTTTAATTAATTAACTAAAACGAACTCACATGTCAGGGACAATAAATGATGTAAGAAAAAAAAACAGACCAAGGTGATGACATCAAAAAATACTTTTCTTTTCTCTTCGAATAAGTTATGCATGGTTAAAGTTTCGCTTCAATGATTTTCTTTCGAGACACATTCAATATATAAAATAAAAAAAAGTGTCAGTACTTTTTACAAAATCATAGTTTTATCAATAGATACAATGAATCAACAACAATTACATAGACCTCGTATTATTATAATGCGACATTCTGAACGATTAGATTTCGTTTTAAAAAATAATAATTGGCCACAAGAAGTTTTTATTAATGGAGTTTATTCACCAAATGTCACACAAATGCCAACTGTTTTACCAATACGAGCAAATCCACATGAATATTCTCTTGATACACCATTGTCAAGACATGGTAAAGCTCATGCTTATCATACAGGTGAATTTTTTCGTTCACTTGGTTTAATACCACATCGTGTTTATACATCACCAGCAATGCGATGCGTTCAAACAGCTGATTCTGTACTCGAAGGTCTAGGTAGGCGTGAACGAGCACCATTACGAGTTGATCTTGCTCTTCATGAACCAACTAAACGAAATTTACCATTACAACCAGCTGAATTTTTTGCATCAGCTGGATTTTTTGTTGATATAAGTTATCAACCTGTATTAGCACCATCAAATAATACAATTATTGTACGTGAAACACGTTTAGCTTATTATAGACGAATGTATGCTGTTTTAAAGAGAATTACGAGAAAACTTATTAGTCAAAATATGAAAATAACTGCATCATCACCAACACCACCAACAATTCTTATTGTTACACATCGACCATGTGTTACATTACTTGCTGCTATGTTAAATCTTGATGCTGTAGATGATAAATTAGGTTATCTTAATGAAATGGAAACTAATAAACGTGGTGAAGTTAATTTTCTTTCTATGATTATTGCTGAATATGATGCAGCAACTGGTACATGGGTATTCTTATCGGATTTTCCTCAATTACCAACAACTCCATTATTATCAGCAAATGTTTTAATGAATGCATTGAAAATTGCTGATTAGCATGTATATCATTTTTCTTGAATTTATTTTAATAAAAATAAAAAAACGAGCGAGCGAATGAGATATTTACTCTCATTGGTTGATTTATCCATTAGAGGCTGGATATAATTATTTATGGCTATGTAAAGTAGCGATGTCGCTCTTTTTATTTCTTTTTCTCTGTTCTTTTTGACTTAATAAACATTCGTTTGTTCCTCTATCGATCATGTATGTTCCGGCTTTTTTTTGTTGTTTAGTAGAACTAACTTTTACAAAGATTTTCTTTTACTCATGTATTTAAGATTGATGTTAAAATTTCATCTAAAATTCCTGTTGTGTCCATTCATTTCCATAGTTTAATTTGTATATCTAACAAACAGGTGAGAAGTCTTTCAATTTTTTATTAAATTTTTTTTCTTTTCGTTTTCAAAAAAAAAAAAGAAGAGATGTGAATAACATAGAAATGTGAATATATTTTCTTTTGTACTTTGGGTGATTATTATTATGATTAAAAATGTCTGTTTATTTCCCATTTGGATTTATGCCAAGACAAAAAAAACACAGATGAACATCTATACTGTTCAATTAGAAGCCTGTTCGATGTCGTCGTCGTCCGTTCTCTTTCTTTTCTCTTGGCTAGACAACAAATTGTAGCTTTCTCTCTCTTTTTTCGCGTCTTTAGTCATTCTCTTCTTGGTCAACGTCCATTGTCGGTCAATGCACGTCTACTCAATATAGGAGTGAATAAGAGAGAGAGAGAACGAGAAGAGAAGAGAGAAAAGGGGACAGAAAGAAAGTTTTGAATATAATGAGTATGCGGTCGGACGCACGCGTTTCGGAGCTACTGTTACTGCCGCTTTCGGGCGTTAGTACACTTCTCTGGTTGTATTAAGTGCGCATGAAAAAAGATGCGTTGAATGAGAAGAAAAAAAAAAGCATTCAAACCAATAAGTTCGACTTGAAATATGCAGAGAGTAAATGAATCATGGTGGTAAGCGATCTCTTTTGTTTCGTGGCTGATGCATTTGTTCATTCAAGGTTTTCCTTTTCTGGTTGCTTCCCAGCACACATAAAATAGTAGACTTGTCATATTTTCTTTCCGGTTCTCTCATTTTCTCTTTTGCGTGCAGTCAAGTGTGTGTGAGATGGACTCAATTCGAGAGAAAGAGAACAAGTCTATTTACCGAATACGAGAAAAATCATGCATTCGCGTTGGCTCCCATATGCATTATATCTTATAGAATACGATAGTAAAGAAAAAATCATTACATACTGCTTACACGACAGACAAATAGGATGCACGATCAATCGAACGAGTATATGTGAGTGAGTGGTGCTGATTAATAGGCAGATAAACATTCACTGTGGGCGTTAGTAAACTTGTGTGTATATATATATATATATATGTATAGAAGACGTATAAACCTATATAAAGTTCTATTTGCTTACGTAGAAGGTGTCTATACACATATGACCAGGCGTTTTTGTTTTGCTTGTATCCCTCGAGCAAACTAAGACATCTATAGTAGTGAAAGATTAATACATCGAACGAAAGAGGTTAGATTTAGTATTCGTACATACAATCTTCTCAAAGGATTCATAGCACTATTTATTTCGTTATGATTGAGTTTCTTTTTTATCGAGGTCGAATCGCAGATGTATGCATCGTCAAGAAATCATTTTGATACCTTTATGCATTTCTATATATATATATATATGTATATGTATATATATATTATGCAAATTTATTTCCTCATTTGACCTTTATTTCGACTTGTTGGACATGACAAGATCGATTAATAATCCATGTTTTATCCTGTAAAAAAAGACCAGACATCAACTAAATAAAAAATCTATTTCTCACAAGAAGGCCAACATGTTGTTCTTTTTTCTTGTTCTTTCTCTTTTTCTTCTTACTTGTATTCGCTCGATTGAATATGCAAACGAGCCGTAACTTCTTGAGTATTGGTGTCAAACTGTTACATAAGGATATTTTGCCAAGTGTCACCTGCCATTTGTTACTTAGTGAAGAGATCTCTCCCTCTCTCTTCTCTCTTTTATTCTCTTTGTCTCTCTTGTATTCGCTTGCTCTTTCTTTTTGCGAAAAGCAAACATCTATCAATTGTTTGACATTTACTCTATCTGATCTAATCGAATAACCTTTTTTTGCTTTTATTCTAGTCTTTTCTTCTATTAAACATCGTATAGATAATTCTAACAAATGCCCGGCGAAACAATAACAGACGATCCACAACGTGAACGTCTTGTCTATACATATACATATACGTCAGACGGTGATAATGGTCAAGCACCACAATCAAATACAGTTAAAGTAACAACAACAGTTGAAGAAGAAACAACACCTGATGGAACAAAAGTTGTACGAAAAAAAGAAGAATCTCAACAAGTATCTAAAGTAACAAAAATACAAAAAATCACACGTGTACATCGTCATCTTGTTGATCCATTAACTGGTGAATTAATACGTCAAGATGATCCAAGATATCAAGCATTAATTGCTGAATATGGAGAACCAACACCAACAACATGGTCAGATGAACATGTTGTTTATGAAGGTACTACAATACCAACAAATGGTATTACAACAAAACATGAAACAAATACTAGTTTTTCACCCAATTCTTCTTTTTCTCAACAAAAGTAAATAAATTTTATTTCAAAAATAAATATTTTGACAAAATTACTATTTAGAACTCGTTTTCGATCGGGTGAAGAACATTCACCATCATCTGCACGTTCTTCTCAACGTTCAACAACAACCACACATCAACATCAACATGCACATTATGAACAACAACAACCAAATCGATTTGATAGAAGTACATATGCATCTGGTGGAGATGTAAGTGAAACTGGCTTATCGATAACAAATGGAACACGACATGATAATCGTACAATTTATTCCAATGGACGACCATCAGGACGAGTACCACCACAACAACATATTAATGGAGTCATTCGGAATGGTTACAATCATGATGGCCTTGATCATCGTTATAATGGTACACGTTATAACGAACCAGAAAATAATAAAAGTATGTTGTTTACCTAATAATTAATATTTTGTTTTTCTACATAATTAATTTTTATTCTAGCGAATACTGATGAAAAAATAATTGATTATGATCCAAATGATCCAAATTTAGTTGATGAACCATATCTTGATGTTGAAAATCCTTATGAAGGTTTAGGTCCAGGTCGACCAGATAGTATTGTTCGAGCACTTATGCCAACAGCTGGAAGACAATCACCTGATAGTATCGGACAAGGTAAGAAATAGATAAATATTTGCTTTTGGGCACAATTACTTTTATTATTTTCAAATTAAAAATTGCTTTTCTTATCATTGCTTGTGTGTGTATGTATATTTATCAATATTTTCCCCTCATATCATTTTGCAGCACCTCCCGGCTATGGTGAAGATTATGGTACATTAAGTCGTATGTATACATCATATGGTGTACATGAAGAGGAGTATCATTCACGTCGACGATCACCTTCAATTGATACAGAATTTCGAGGTATGATTTCATAGTTTCTCCATGCTTGTGCTTGTTGTTTCGCTTGATTTTGCTTGGTATATTATTTTATGATTCATTTCGAAATTAATTTAATAATTTCTTAGAACAACGATGGCGTGATCCTGATTTACAAGAAGTTATTGAATATCTTAGTCATACAAGTGATGTTATTAAAGAGAATGCCGCTGCTTATTTACAACATTTATGTTATAATGATGATAATATTAAATCTAAAACAAGATCTTTAAATGGTATTGCATATTTAGTTGCTTTACTTCAACATGAAAAACCCGAAATACAAAAGAATGCTTGTGGTGCGCTAAGAAATTTATGTTATGGAAAACGAAATGATGAAAATAAGGTTTGATAAAACTAAAAAATTTAATTCCAAGACAAAATATTTGTATCATTTAGATTGAGCTCAAAAATCGTAATGGTGTACCAGCATTAATTCATCTTTTGCGTCGAACACCCTATGAAGACGTTCGAGAATCAGTTACAGCTGTTCTTTGGAATGCATCATCCTCACCACAATTAAAAGGACAAATACTTGATGAAGGATTAAATGTACTTGTTAAAAATATAATTATTCCTTTTTCGGGATGGGATGCTGATGTTAATCGACGTTTAAATCCACAAGGAAAATTCCCACCCGTTTTCAAAAATGCCACAGGAATACTTCGGTAAGTTTTAGTTAATCCGAAGAATAAATCTTCATCAAAATTGCTTATTTACTTTTCTATACAATTACTAGAAGATTTCCTAGTTCAATTATCGAAAGAATTTTTGCATTTAATACGATATATGATTAACTGCATGTGCTAAACAAAGCATACACTGAAACTTATTTCATTAGTTATGAATTACATCAATAAGCTTTCATTGCATAGCTAAATGAAAAATAATCAAATGAATTGCTTGATTAAATAAAAGATTTATAGGAAACTACATCATATTCATACAGATTTCTTTTTTTTTGATTGACATTAATATGTTCGTGTACTTCTATTGTCACTATTCAATTAAACATTTGCTATGATTAAAGAATCATATCCAAGTTATTCATTCTGTTTGAAAAAATAAAAAAATGACATAAATCTGAACAATTTGATTATTACTTTTACTTTATGTCATTCATAGGAGGAGTTTCAAGGTTATCTAAATTTATTCTATAATCAAGGTCAATAGATTTATTGGAATATACGCATATATAATAGAATTTTTTTATTAGAAACGAATTGTCTTTAAGAGAGTTCGAAATCGAGATATTCGTGAACGATAATATTTCTATTAGATTATTAATTTCCCTAGTTTTTGTTCTATTACAAATTCAATTATCCTTCGTTTAGTAATTGTTCATCTGCTGATTATGATGGTCGTCGTAAAATGCGTGACTGTGAAGGTTTTATTCCATCTCTTCTTCATGCTGTTAATTCCAGTCTTCAATCCTTAAATGAAATTGATAATAAATCCATAGAAAATTGTATGTGTATATTACGTAATCTATCGTATAAATTACAAGAAGTTGTTGATCGTGATTATGATCGAAATTATCCTGCTATGGCCGCAGCATCAACATGGAGTGTAACACCATCACAATATAATGAACATGAAAAGACTAAAATTGGTTGTATGGGTTCAAAACAAAAGAAAACGAAACAAATATATGATCAAACAGGAACATTGAATAATCATAATAATAGCAATAATGGTAATATCCATGCTATAATACCACCACGCGAAGGACGACCTGTTGAAATGCTTTGGCAAACTGATGTTATTGGTACATATGTACATCTTTTACGTCATAGTAGCAATCCTGATACACTTGAAGCAACAGCTGGATGTATTCAAAATTTAAGTATGTTTCAAAAATTAAAATAATTTAATATAATATATTTATTCGCTTTTTCTAGCTGCTTGTTACTGGAAACCATCAGTGGATTTACGTACGGAAGTTCGTAAAGCTCGTGGTTTATCTGAATTAGTTGATTTATTACGTGTTGATGAATGTGATGCTGTAGTTAATGCATCAGCAATTGCTTTAAGAAATTTAGCAATTGATCCGAAAAATCGTGATGTACTCGGTGGTTGGGCTATAAAAGAACTTGTTGCTGTTCTACCAGATCCATCTGAACAAGGAACAACACGACGTCGTCATTCCGATGAAACATTAACGTCCGTTCTTGCTGCACTCAATGAAATTATTCGTACAAATGATACAAATGCAAGAATTTTATTTCAAGAAGGTGGAGTAACGAAAATGAATGGTATTATGAATGCGAAAGGACATGTTTATAATGCTAAAGTTATTAAATATACTGCACATGTACTTAATACAATGTATAAACATCGTTCATTACATGATTTATATAAACAACATGGTTATAAAGAAAGTGATTTTATACATCATCGATTATTAAATTCAAAATCCTTGACATCAAGTCCACAATCAACATTACATAGACCGAGAGGTGATATGGGACAACCGACACATTTCACATCGAAAGGAAAACAAATTACTCGTCCACAAAGTATGATAACACAACCTTTTCTTTTTTCGATGTGTTTAAATGTATTTAATTTCAGGAGGAGATGAATATCGAATGCAAAAATTAAATCAAAGTATGGATAATCTACAAAGACCATATGGAAATGGAGTAAGTAAATATTCTCAGATCTCTATTATGAGCAACAATATTTATATCTTGAACTTTCGATAGAATAAAGAATTCACATGCGTGTTTTTCAGTCGATTGGAATACTAGCTTTCATGACGCTTAATCAATTCATAATATCCTTGTTAACCTTAAGTTCAAAAGATTTAGTTATGATGAACTCTTACTCAATGTAAAAATCAGCTGTAATTTGATTATTATAAGATCACTTGAGAGTTATGTCAAGTATACAATATAGTAAGCGAAGAAAAGAATAAGTCTTGTATTTCGGGTGCGGCTTCGGGATTGAGTATTTTCAAAATAGAGACTTTCGCTTAATTCTTGGGTTCTTATGAAGATGTATAATGGATACAGAATAAAATTCTCTATCAGGCTATTGTATTTTTGGATCTCACTCAACATGTATCGCAGGACAAATACCAGCGGCCGTAGGTATTTCTTCTTCATATATCTTGAATGAGATCTGAAAGTACAATAGCTTGATACAGAATTTTATTCTCTATTCATCGTACATCTTCAAAAGAACCCAAGAATTAAGCTGAAGTCGCACCCTACTTGTATTTTATCATGTTTTGAATGAGGAATATTTCTAAAAATCTATTTTTTAATATAGACAATGCCGGCTCATGGTGATCCACATTCCGATCTATATGCAACTGTACATAAAAATCGCTCACAACAAATTCAACCAGCTACATGGGATCAACTTGGTCAAGCATCAACATCGCCTGATTCTTGGGTATAAAATTAACTATGCTTAAATTCATTTATTCAGCTAATGTCAGATTTTTATTATGAGAAAGAAAAGAACGAAAATCAAACATTTCTTTCTTTTTTGTTTCTTTGTTTATTCTTTATTATATTCTCTTTTGTATAATGTTCATTTTATAATTGCCATCATACGTATATATCTTTCTTTAATAAAAAAACACAATGTACATGAGTAGTAATTATATTTGTGTTTGTATGTTTTTTTTTTCTTTTTTTGTTTTTTGCTCCTGTCGAGTATCACTAAAAATGTGCGAGTTAATGAACACATCAAAGTTTTTTTTGTTCTTTTCTTCTTATGTATATAAAAACGATAAAAAGTGTTATTTTCTCTTTTACTCAGGTTTTTGCGTGTGCGTGTGTGTTTATTCTTAATATTCTTTTGTCGTATTTCTTTTTTATTAATTAAAATATATCATCGAACAATATAAGGTTCTTTTAAACGTATATCTTCATTTAGGTTTTTTTCAAGTTGACGATAATTTTCTCGAGTGAATTCTTCATGTCTAAATAAAAGTAATTCATAACTATATAAAGAATGAATGCAAGAATTACAAACTCTTTTAAACGATCTTGAAGAATTTGTAAACGAAATTTTGCTTGTTCACATTCGAATTCATCATTTTTTGATATATGATTATTTTGATACCATTGTTGTTTAGTAAGAAGTTCTTTAATTTCATTCTCATAACATGATTGTATTAGATTAGCTCTATATATTGATTGATTTTTAAAGTCAAGTTCAATATTGTAACGTATCTGTTCAGCGATCTGAGCATTAATACATTCAGGATTACCTTAACATAATTATAGAAATGAAAACGAAGAAAATAATTTATTAATACAAACCTATAGCAGCTATATATGGATATAGATAATCGAGTTCATTCATATTTTTTCTATTCTTATCTTCATCAGTTTTTTGTTGCTAGAAAAAAATACTAATATTTTAGTCTGCGTCATATATAGAAGGAATTATGAAAGTGAAGAATAAGGCCACGGGTATACGAGTGTGCGGATGGAGGTTTGTAAACAAAACAAACCCTTTCAATCTCACCCACAACATAAAGTTAGAGTGAATTGCTGAGAAAACATCCGAAAAAAAACTGCGAAATTTAAACCTTCGAACTTCGAAATGTCGAAAAAATAAAATTCTGAACGAGTGTGGGTATGAATAAAATAGATCGTCCACACCCAGACCCATACTGACCCCCACACCCTTAGAATTTTTATAAATAAATAATCGAAATTTACTTACTAATAATTCTTTATAAATTTTTGATTTTTCGTTTCGATCAATATCATATATACTAACTTCAAGATCACTTGAAAGTTCTTCTTGTTGTCGACGTGATTGAAGATCTCGTATCTATAAATGATAAAATTTAATTTTTGTTTTAAATATAAATAAAAATATATATACTTCATTTTCAGCTGTTCGTACTCGTTTAATAGCTTCCTCTTCTTCTTTAATTAATTTTATTATTTCATAATAAAGATCACGCTTAGACATTTGTTTTAAATCGTCATTAGCTTGATAAATTTCATGTAAATTGTCATTCCATTTAAATATAAATGCTTTATCATTCCAATTCGACTATATTTCTCGTATATATCTAAATTATTTAAAAACTAAAATCAACTTACCGGTTTGATATATGTTCTAAATACAAAATCTTTGATAAGATTTTACATTTGAAACGATTATTTACCTAATTGATGATGTAATACAATTTATATCACGATAATAAGTTATGATAAATTTATTATCTTTAATAGCAAAAATAAGTTCTTGAATATCCTCATTAGAATTTAAAGATGGATTACGATTGAATTTTTCCGTAATTGACTAATGATATACATAAGATTCTAGAAAAATGATTTTTATTTTAGAAGATAATAGTTTACAATAATTGATCGTTGAGTAGATTTTTTCAGTTGAATTTCAAATATAACTTTTCGATATGTAAGAAAATTATCATGATCAATGAAATAATCTGTAAGTTCATGAGTTGTTTCATGTCGTTTAGATAAACTATCTAAACGTGATTTATGATAATAAATCATTATTCGATCATAGGATGGTCCAAAATCATATATGTATTCTAGATATAAATATCAAAAGATTAAATTAGTTTGATTCAACAAAACGCAAGAATAAAAATATAATTTGAAAACATAGACCGAAACGAATAAGTAAAAATTCATTTATTTCCAATAGACTTTTATCTATTCACATTAACTCTGTCTTCATTAAATTGTGACCGAGCATGTGTCAACTTTTCGTCTGTCCTTAGTTCATGTTCTTTGATCAATGAAGCGAACATTGACATCGTCATTCGAAATCGATTCGATTCGACCCAACCGAATCAAATTATTCGCTTATTCGATCTTTGTTAAATAATAATGAAATGCCTAACCAAAATAGTAGTAATTACAAAGAAGATAAATGAATTCGATAGGGTCGATACCATTTATTACCAGTGAAGAAACCTTAGTGGTTTAGAGACAAGAATTGAGTCTAAGGAATTTTGCCATTGGTGAAAGTCTTATTGGCGAAATTCGGGTTAGCCCTGCAATCCATTATGGAATAGTTTTTCTCGTTCACGTAACGATACCTTTTAAATGATCGTTTCGTCCAGGTCGATATTTTTCCTTGATTGTATTCATTTTGATATTATGTTCACGAATTTCAAGTTTATCATAACGATGTTCATAATGATATGTCACATAAATAAATTCTTTACCTAAATTTCAATTAAAATTTATCATTCAATTTTCAACTTACAATTATAATCATCGAACTCGGAGATTTTTAAAACAATTCCATCTTTCTTACTATATGGTGCATATTTTTCGACACATGTTTTTTTGAAATAATATATTTTGTGAGATTTTGGATAGCGTTTTTGAAAATCTAAATAAATACATCAAATTAAAATGATAGATCTGTTTTTGCAAACTTTTCGGTGTTATATCTAAAGGCATAACCCATGATAATGGTAAATTAATATCTTTATGAATTGTTGTTTTTATTGTCTAAATAAAAGAAAACAGAATTGATCATTAAAAATATTGTAAAAAATTTCGATATACTATATCAGGTATTGATGAATGATAATATTTTTTATAAACTTCTGATTTGATTTTATCAGAATAATTTTTATAATATGAAGTAGCATTTATATTTGATACAGGTAAATGAAGAGGATTATTAAAATAGAATTCTAAAAGTTTTGATTTTTAATTGAAAACAAAAATTTAATTTATTATTTCGAACTCATTTTTTCAAACCAATCGATTTGATTTGATAATGTTTTTGAAAGTCGTTTGTGAGTAAGTTCTTTTTCTTTTTCATTTGAATGAATAAACATACATTCCCATCGAGCTTGATCATTCAAATCAAATTGAAGTGACTTGGATAAAAAATATATATGTTTTCTTTTATTATTTGATATTTTTTTATAGAAAACAAACTTGACATCCATTGGAACAATCTTGCATATTAACCCATAAATTTTCATGATTCCAGACACTTTCAATTCCTAAATAATCAGTATCATCTGCTGTTTTTCTATAACCTGTAGTAGGTTCAATATAAAATGCTTCAGATATTTCATGTCTGCCACCAGGTCGAATAAGTATCCAAGCATGTATTCGAACACCATATAATGGATCAGAGATAGGTCTTTCAATTTCCTATATATATCGATCTCTTAAAATATTTGAATATCCACTATAAACTTACAGCTATTCGTTGATTTTCTTCCTCTTGTATTTTAATTTTTTCTTCTTGAATTGTATTCAAATGTCTTTGATGCATATAAGCATCATATTCTGATGTTAAAGTTTTTAGTGGTTTTACACCATATTTTTTACATTGACTTTTCAATTGTTTTACAGGTTCCTATACATATATGTAAAAGAAATTCGTATTTAAATATTAAACTATACTTCTTGTTGTTTCCTAATATATGGATTTGGTAATCGAGTAGTATCCATATAACATATTTCACGTGTAGCATATCCACTAACAATATATGCATCATATCCTGCACCAATTAATAATGAACAAAGTAGATTAGCATAATCAAAACAATTTCCATGTTGATCAGTAAGAATTTTAGTTGGTGATGAAAGTGTTTTAGGCTGTAAGAAAAAAGAGAGTCTTAAAATATAACTTTCGATTGTTAACATACAAGTTCATATGGTGGATCGAGTAAATCATAATTAAGATGATCGGCAATAAAATTCGCTGTTAAATTCCATTCAGTTAAATCTGAATATGGTAATATTGTTGGTCGAATAGTTGTACAAACAAATTTCTATTCCATTATTGTTATTTATGTTATAGGTTTAGAAGAAAAGAAGTATTTATTTACCGGTATACCACATTCATTAAATGGATTGAGAAAAAGTGATTTTCGATCACGATAAATATGATAATATTGTCGACGAAAATTTTCAACAAATGTTAATATTAATTCTTCTTTTTTAGAATTTAATCGATATGATTCTGGATGCTCTTCTAGATTTGAACAAGCGACAATTGAACTAGATCGATAAGAAATTGTTTAATTAGATATCATTTATCATCGATATGATTTATCTTCGAAAATGCAATTTTTTCGAATCATATTATTTTAAAATTTATGCTCATTGGTTAGGGTTTAGAATATAACTAAAATTAATAGTAATAAATTAGAGGAATTCTTATTCATAGAGCAATGTATTTCAATAGAGATTAGTCTTATTAAAACTTTACACTAACATTGAAAGTATATCATCAACAATAATAGTTTTCGGTGGTAATATATCAGCAGTTTGATCATTGATATCATCTAATTGTTGTACATCAATTACAGATTCTGAATGTATCTATAGAAGAATAATTATTAAAATCTATTATTTTCTTATATAAAAGATTCTAACCTTTTCTTCTGTTGTTTTATTTACATTACGATCGTTCATTTGAGATATATATGTAATTAGATTGACAACCAATCTCTACTATAATGAAATAGAATGTGATAGATTATTTATTTAATTCGATTCAATCTACTTCTATATCTTTTAATTTTTACAATATTCTTAATGAATTTTATTTGCTATTTTATTCTAGTTCAAAATCAATACCCATAAGAACTAGATAGCATTTGAGTTACATTCAATTAAGAAATGCGATGCAAATCTTTAAATTTCGAAGAATTGATAATATAGAAAAACGAATCGTCGTCTTTGAAAATGAGGATGGAGTAAGAAAAGATGGCAACAAATCGTCAAAAATGCCTTATTATGTGCCTTTATGTAAGGAAGTCAATAATATCGGTTTCCAGCGAGTTTACAGCTATTTATTGTTTTGCAAATCATTATAACCTGGTGAGTCGTATAATTTCTAACTAATCCATAACTAGCTAATTTAATATCCAATTCTTTTTTAGAAACAATCACTTGGCATCAATGATAATATTCTTTGAATAGAAAAAAAGACAATGTCTGACTCCATCTTTTGATAAACATTTTCTAGTAGTAATGATGAGAAAATAGATGATATATAATCAATAATAAAAAGTGGAAGAAATAATAAATTTTAATCGAATTCTCAAAAATAATACAATAGTGTCTAACCTAAAACTTGAATTCGACTACTCAACCATTTACTTTTGTCTCCTTATATATATAGATCTTCTCCTGAATGGCAGATCCGTACCATCACTAAGACTCTTTCTTATAGATATACATTACTCTTGCCGAATAGTCACATATATGTATCTCAGATATCTATTATATGTATATATATACAGGTATTCTATTCATTTAATATGGCTGAGTTTCTCAATGGTATAACTATTCTATAATATTTGAACAGAAAGATTAATTCATTCTATGGATAAAATAAACCTTTTCTCTCTTCTATTCTTATATGTTTCTGTTGAGTATCTTTCTTTTTTATCTAATACAACGAAACTCTACTTGTTCAGACATAATAATGTAACAGTGAAGATTTTTTCTACAATACATATCATCTCAATATGTATTGTTTATCTTACCGGTGAGTGTTACTGCGCATATTGTGTTCTCAATAAGAATAGAGTTTCAACAGAGACACATTTTCTTTTTCATCAGTTTTATTTTACTTTCAAACAAAAATATAGAAAAAAATTATAATTTCTTTTTTATCCGTTCGAGGTTTTTTCTTCGTTGTTGAAGAGTTGGATGACTTGTTGGTAATGATTGTTGTCCATTTTGTACAGCACGTTCATAAAATGAATGAGATTTTGCATAGTTGCCCATATTCTCATACACACGACCGATGTTGTTATAGGACATACCCAAATGAGGATGATTAGAAGGAAGTGATTGTTGTTGAATTTCAAGGGCTTTTTCATAAGATGAAAGTGCTTTTGGATAATCACCTATCTTCTCATACACATTACCGAGACCTATGTAGGATAAAGCCAAATCAGAATGATTGGAAGGAAGTGATTGCTGTTGAATTGAAAGGGCTTTTTCATAATAAGAAAGTGCTTTTGGATAATCATGCATGCTGTAGTACACACCACCGATGTTGATATAGGAAATACCCAAATTAGGATGATTGGAAGAAAGTGTTTTTTCATCAGCAGCAAGCGATTTTTCATAATATGTAAGTGCTTCTTCATATTCTCCTTGATTACGTTTGATCATACCTAGTTGATGATAAATAGGTGCCTTGTCACTTTCGTCTGTTGTTTGATGAAGTAAAATTTCATAAACTTCTTGAGCCTTATTAAACTGCCCCATTTTAAATAACAGTGATCCTAATCTATCCCATCCTGTCGAATCTGGAACGGTCTCGTGTCGTATACGATCAGTAAGAATACGAAGATCTTGATCGTTGTCATCGGTCAATATTAAATTCACTGTATAAACATGATTGTTTCCATCCATTAGTTTAATATCTCCAATACGGAAAATGGTATGCATAGAAAAGAGAACTTCATCTTCTGTATGAAAATAACTAACATCACTAACAGAAGCAAACGGAGTTGTTGAATTCGTAGGATTAATTGATATAACAAATAAAATTCCAACAAGATCGAGATTTGTAGTGGCTTGTTGTGCAAAATTAAGGGAGACATCACGATTTTTACTAGTTGATAGAAAGCTATTAAATGAAAGAAGTCCACCTTTTGTTTTTGTCATTTCGGTGAAATCTTCTTTTGAAAGACCTTGTCCACGATAAACTGTAAATGTTGTACCTGATTGATGGTCATCAAACTGTTCCGAATGTAGTCGTTGAATATCACAATGTAGATCCTTAATAAAGAAACCTATTCGAACAATAATATCAGCGTCCATTGATCTTAATGCTTGATTGAGCATACGATATAAAAATGCATCCCATGTATACCACCATATGGGTATGTTGTTTTCGTATGTTGTTTGTAATTGATTAACATTTTTTAATTCATTTTCATCATCTTCATATACTTCACGACAATAAGTAATAAATTCTTTCATATGTTTGTCTTCGAATTTGATGGTTAATAAGATCTCTTTCATGATCAGAGTATACATAAATGATGGATCTAATTGATCCAATTTCTTGTTTGATGCCACAAAACTAATTGATGTGGCATTTTGCTCACATTGGTGAGCAGCTTGCTTGAGAGCTTCACAGATTGATGTTATATCTGTGAAGACACCTTTTATTTTAGGCCATTCTTTGGCCCATTGTATATGCCATTCTTGATTGTTACAAAAAATAAAAATAGTGTCTACTTCAGACATATCATGCACATGAGGCACAATATGTTGTCCGAGTGATCCTGAGACAATCATACATATTTTGTTGTTGGTAATGGTTTGAATAAATTCAATACATTCTTCACCATCCGTAAACGTGTTTATGTTGTTAACTACACGTTTCAGTTGTTTGATTGTATTACTACAATCAGCATTATTTTCATTAATATTGTTGTCTAACCAAATCAGAAGCACATTTTGCATTCTTTGCATGTTCATACTTCGATTTGCAACTGCACTCGTGGAGAAACCAGTTGCTGGCTCTTCTTTTTTAGTGTCACTCGATTCGCTAGTTGCCATTGACTGTGATTATTGCTATTTGTAATAATAATGTGTTGTATTTGAGTAGCTTGAAAAAAATTGTGAATGAAAGAATCACTAAAGCAGCTCATTTTATAGTGTCTCTACTTCCTATCGAGATTTGTTTTTCTATTTTTTGAACTGGACAACAACGTCTTTTTCAGTAACTATTGTAGATATTGTTATGTAAAACAAACTAACATCAACACAAACATTCTTTAGTAATAAACTGAGAACGAAAAAGAAATGGTGAAGTATTTTTGCGATTGCCAGTCTCTAAAATAATCCGCGAAAAGAAATTTTACTACGTATTTTGATGATGCAAAAACAGAATGTCCAAGAAATTTTTTTCTTTCTGTTCTCGTGTTTGATGTTGTTGAATATTCAAAAGTTGAAAATTGTTTATTGTCGCATAAATTATAGTTCGTAAAAATTGACAAGATAATGCTATTCAAATACAAAACACTTATATTATTTTATTTCTATAGTCAAATATAATCTATTGTCTTTTTTTATTGCAAACTGAATTCTGGCAAAAAAATGACTATTTTTACTTATCAGTTTCATAAATGATCGTTCGTTTTAGAAAAAGCATTAAGAAGTACCTGCATATGGATGAGGAAAATCTATTGAAAGCATTTCAATATCATCTAATTTTGAAAATAAAAAGTTGAATTATAATACTTCTATTTATCTATTTTGAAGACAACAGTAATACAAAAAACAAGTTGATCGTGTACATTTTAAAATTTCATGTTGAATTGAAGTCCTTTTTTTAATGATCAATGTGTTAATGCTATTTTTTAAAACAAGCTTATATAATTCGACTGAATTTTATCTCTGGAAACTATCACATATAAACTTATGGAACTGACAGAAAGAACTTAATTGTTTATAATTCGTCGGGTAATCTGTAAAATATACGTTCAGATTTTGAACAGCAATAGTAAAAATCTAATGTACTTGTGTATACACAGATCTTCTCTGTATGTAACATCAGTATTTATGTTTAATACTAAACGAAAAAAAAAATATAATGTGTAAATGAATAGCTTTACTATATAAAATTATTATATGTAATCAACTTTTTCTACTTAGGTTAAAGCAATAAAAAAAACGCGATTTATTATGAGCAACCATTCTCTTCGCTATATATGATAGTAGAATTCAAATTAATCTTTTTATCAAATTATTAATATAATCGTTGTATAATGTATATTATTATGTTATCATCAGATTATGTTTATGTTGAGCTTAAATCTAGCGATATTTATGAACGAAAAAAATATGATGATCAGTATTTTTGAATGATTTGAACCAATTATTAAAACAAAATAAAAGTTGTGTTACGAAACATTAGACAATAGAATTAATTTATAATATATATTCAAACATTATTCTTTCATTGAAAAAGCATCGATTTAAAAATCAAATCGTTTAATATAATTTATTTACTTGGATACACGTGAAATTCTAGGATTAATATATGAGTGTATCAGATATATTCTAATTACTCACATCCTCAAGGTATAAAGTTAGTTAGCTTATATGTATGTCTAGTGTCACTACCCATATTATCAGCTACGGTATATCGCATTAAAAAGGAAGAAAACTCGCGAAGAACTATATAAATGCTTTGCTTCGCATCGCATTAATAATACAATACATCATAAAAAGACGATAAAAACAAAAATAGTTTTTGTTATTTTTAGTACATCATTAAGTTTATAGAGTTAATAATATACTAATAAGAAAAGATAGTTATTTTCTCCAGACTGTCACATAGAACATTGATTAGTAAAGATGTTTTAATTCTTCAATTATATTCAGTAAAGAAAAAAATCTTTTCTTTTCACTATCAAGGCAAAGTATTAAATTATTAGAAAGGTGTTTAAATTGTATGTATATAATTCTTAACAAATAAATAAATAAATAGAATTTTCGATATTTTATACAATTGTTATATCATAACTATTACTTATAAATGATAAAGAATGCCATCTAACGGATGAATAAATTATTTCCTTCCTAATCTATTTTCTTCTTTATTGGTTAAGTAAATATATAAATATCTGTTAGCTTAACCATTCCTGCTATGAGTATTCATCTATTCTTAGAGCTAGTCACGTGTTCGTATTAGTTTTTATTTTTAATTATTTAACCTGTGTCATCAACTATATACGAGTATAAAACATGCGTTGAAAATAAAATAAAAATCCTTAGACAAAAGTATAAACATTTCTGAGAGAACTATACATCTATCCACAATGATTATTTTATTGCATACCCTTTCATACAATGTTATAGAATGACCTTTCTTCTTTTTCCCAAACTTATCTTATTGAGAAATCTGTCTTTATGTCTCCTTTTTTTCTGTCAAGAGAATCAATAGAAGAAAAAAATATATCGAGGTTAGTGCAGACATTCGTCACGTATACATATACAGCACGTTGTTAGGCACGTGCAGATACGCTTGTTGATATCAGTAACTACTCGAATATTTTTAATCAGTATAATCTTTTAGAAAATATAAAAATGTGGCTATGGACATGGTTTTTAAATACATGTCTATCAATCTATCGATATTTATTAATTAAATACAAAGGTCATAAATTCGATCATGAAGCTAAAATTTCAATAGAACAAAAAACAAATCGTCAAACATTATTTAATATTTTAAAACAAAATCAAAATACAAAATTTTTAATTGATCAACGTAAAAAATCTCAAATAGATCAAAATGAAAACATTGATAGTGTTGAAAAATTCAAGTAAGGATTTATCATTTTATATAAATATTCTTATTTGATTTAATTATATTTTACCTTAGAAAATTATTTCCAAAATTTACAGAATATTCTGATTATAAATCATATGTTGATGAAATTAAGAATGATGGTCATACAAAAGATATTTTAAGTGTTGGCTTTCCAATTGCATTAACAAATACAAGTGGAACAAGTGGAGATCCAAAAAATTATCCAGTGTAAGAAATACGATGTCTTTGGGATCACAATCGGAGGATAAAATTACTCAATCGGAAGTTGTACGAGAATAGTTCAGTTTCTTTATCATGAAATTCGTTCGTGTGACATATTCGATGAATTTTTTTCTTCTATTAAAATCCTACAATGACTTTAGAAAAACTTAATTGTATTTTTTTATTTATAGTTATTCACTTGACATAAATGAACCATATAATATCGCTTATATGATGACAAAAACAATACCATCGAATCTTTTTAATGGTTGCAAATGTGTTTCATTGAATAGTTTAAGTTATGAGACATATACAACAAAAGATAAGTTAAAAACTTATGACGTTAGTGCAATAACAACAATAGCAGCACGTGAAAAACAAAATGTTGAAACTATATTAAAATTTAATCAAGACATCGTACCATCGATTATATTCTATGAAATTAAACAACAAAATGATATGTTTTTATTTATATTAATATGGACATTACAATGTAAAGATTTAGAAATTCTATCGTCAACATTTGTAATGGGATTAATACATTTTTTAACATTTATGGAAGAGAAATTTGATTTTATATGTAAACATATTGAATTGGTACGTAGTAAAAGATTTGATTAGGAAATAGTCAATAAGCGATAGATCAAGAATAAGTTAATACCGAATTAATTTAATTTTTTAAGGGTACGATACCAGTAGATGAGTCATTATCTGTACCATTGTCAGTTGATGTACGTCTTGCTTTACAATCATCTCAATATCGTTTACCACCAAATCCAAATCGCGCTGAAGAATTACGTAAAATTGTTAGTGAAAACGGTTTTCATTATGTTACTACACGTTTTTGGCCTAATTTAAAATGTGGAATATGTATTATAAGTCCAAGTATTAGACAATTTGAATTGAAATTATTATCAACATATTGGAACCCTAAAATACCCATATATCCATATGTTTATGGTATGAGTGAACATCATCGTATTGCAGTACCAGCAAAGCCAAATGCATACGATTTAATACCACAACCACGTTCTGTCTTTTACGAGTTTATTGAAGTAGAAGATGACGATGATAAAGACGAAGATGATGAACAGACACCAGAATCATTTGAATTACATCAAGTTGAAGGTAAAAATAAAATTTATTTAGTTTATTCTTTGCATATTTTTATACTTTTCAGAGGGTAAACGTTATGAAGTCGTATTTACAACATACGATGGTTTATATCGTTTTAGAACAGAAGATATTATTAAAATAGTAGGACGTTATTATTCATTACCAACATGGCATCTTATCGGAAGGTTTGTTAAAACTTCAATATCATAAAGTCTATGCAGTAGATTCAAACAATTATATAAAAGAGCGTGCGGATGGGGGTTTCGAGATCCCGATCCAAACACAACCCTACAGTACATATAAAACAGAGAAAATTAATCTAGGATAGTTACGATAAAAATATTGATAAAGAGAGCATAATATGTTTACTTTATTTTAGACGTGGTCAATATTTATCGATATCGAATGAACATGTAACTGAACTTGAACTACGTGAAATAATAAATTCAATATTACGTGAATATGAAAAAGAATTTACATCGGTATCTCCACAATATTCAATTTTTATCGATAAATCATCTTATGTTTTATCAATTGAAGTTGATGAGGAAAAACAAGATAATAAAGATCAATTAAAACAAACTGGAAAAGAACTATGTACAAAATTCGATGAAAAATTAAAAGAATCTAATGAAGATTATAAAACATGTCGTGAGAAAAAGAAAATTTCATCACCTAGTGTACTATGGTTAAAATATAATACATTAACAACTGGTATAAGAGATTTTCGTTTAGATCCTAATAAGCCCGGTGGTGGTAGTGCTTGTAAAGGGGCTAATCAATTAAAATCACAAATGATTTTGAAGAAGAAAAAAGACAATGCTGTTATAAAATTTGTCAAAGAAAATATTGTATTACAAGTCAATTAAACGATAATATACCTTTTTCTAATGTTATTTTAATCAAGCAAATTATATTTAAAGTGTGCATGATTTTCTTTTGATAATAAAATTTCAAATATAAAAGAATTCGAATAGTTAAAATATTTCATATATTGAATTGCTGCATCGGTCTATAAAGACGTTGTCAGTTTACGGAGAATGAAATATGTCGACTACTAGCGACAAAAATGCCTCCACAATGATTATTTCGAATTTAATTGGTTTTTACAACCTGTCATTCATTATAAACTATATTCTATTCCATTTTCATAATCTTCCAGTTTTCAAAGATGCCGAACGATATTGAAATGGCAAATAGACCACCCACTTGTTACTGGTTTGTAACTTAATAAACAAAAAGTATCGTAAAATATCTTTTAATTGAATTTTTTAGTGGTGGTGATAGAGATTTATCTAAAGTAGAAGTTCAATGTTGTCTTTGTCTTCGATTTTGTCATCATGATTGTATATCGTTAACAACTGGGTAAAGATTCTTATCGTTTAAAATTAAATACTAAATTTTCTTCTCTAATCTAGACCAATGCTTCCTTTTATGACAAATTATCAATTTTTATGTAAAGATTGTTCACCAGCTAAACCCGAAGAACAATTCGTAAAAAAAACTGCAAGTATGTCGTATCACTAACTAAAAATACAAAAAATATATTTTTAAATTATTTTAAAGCATTTAATCAATTATGTACGACTGCAATAGCTAATTTAACTCAACAATCATCAACACAAACATTCTTTTCAAGAGATCGAGTATGATAATAATTTTCAATAGTTTATTTTTATTCCGATTTCTATTTAGGAAATCGTACCATTTATTGATGAAAAATGGGATTTATTAACATTTTCACAAAAAAAAAATAAACCAACATTACATGCATCGATTTACAAAGCATTGGTAATATGAGCTTTTTGTTAAAGAACATTCATTTCGAGCTTCATACAAGGTTGAATAAATCTTTTCAAATACACTATAGTTTATTGATGTTATACAAATCGAAAAAAAAGCTTCTTTTTTAACGTTTACCTCGAAATGTCAGACGGAGGGGAAAAACACTGTTCTCATAAGATCAATCTTTTGATATGAATAAATTTATATTTAGGGACGTGAAGATCTTTTCGTTTCGTCTGATATTGCTGGTGAAATAATGATTGCTTTACGTGAACGATCTCTTGAAAAAATTGGTCCAATCAATGAAAAAATAAATGAAATAATGAATCCAAATGCTAATCGTGCTCTATCTCCTAGTACATCTAATCCTGTTCTATCATCATCATCAAATATGATACCTTTACAAACGAATCAATCTGGAAATGGAACATTTCATGGTTCATCATCAGCCAATAGTGTCACATCATTAGCAAATAGTGAAGTAACACGTCGAACAAGTAAACGAAAATTAGCAAATGAAAATTCTGTGAATACTAAAAGACGTGGTGAAATACCAAAATTAGAAAGACTTATACCAAAAAGTTTTCCACCGGAATATCCATTCAATAAAGAAGGATATAGGTTTGTATTAAAGAGAATATATTAAAATAATAATTCTTTGTTGTTAGATATCATTTAGCTGAACCAGATCCACATTCACCATTTCGACAAAAATTCGATGAAACTGAAGTATGGGCTGGTAAGTTGAAAATCAATTTTCTTTTACTTATATTAATTGATTTTATAGGAAAACCAATTCCAGGACATTTATATCGAACATTTATTGAAAATGAATGTCTATTATCATTAAATGATCGAGGTAAAATAAAAAATTCTGTTTTTCTGATGATTTAAATATAAAACATTCTTATTTAGCACAACAATTAAAATTAAATGATGATCGTTTAACAGTTACTGGTGATAAAGGTTATTGTTCTGTTCGATCAACTCATTGTGTATCTCATGGTGCATGGTATTATGAAGTCACTATAACCTCTATGCCACCAAATACGGCAGCACGTATTGGTTTTGCACAACATCTAGCAAATTTACAAACACCCATTGGTACAGATAAGTTTGGATATTCATGGCGATCAAGAAAAGGAACTATATTCCATGAAGCATCTGGTTTACATTATTCTAGTGGAGGTTATGCTGAAAATGATATACTTGGATTTTTGATAATTCTACCAGAAACAACACATCCGGATGTGATGTTACCAAGAAAATATAAAAAATTACCATTAGTTAAATTTAAAAATTATATCTATTTCGAAGAACGAGATGATCTTCGAACGGGTGAAGCAAATTTAAAAGCAGCAAAAGGAGGCACAGTAAGAGAGATAAAGAAAAACATTTCGTTATATTATTTTTATATCATAGATTATTTTTTATAAAAATGGTATTAATCAAGGTGTAGCATTTACAAATATCTATGAAGGAAATTATTATGCAGCTATTTCACTTTATTATGGTGCTACGGTAAATTTATTTCGTTGCATGATTCATAAATGAATACCGAACTTTTATATTCTAGGTTTCAGCTAATTTTGGTCCAGCATTTGTTTATCCACCTACTGATAGTCCAATTCCATGGAAACCAGTATGCTATTATATTTATTGTAACAAACAAATTTTTCGTTTCTTTTTAGTTAGCAGAATCAATAACTGAAGCATATTGTACGCATGCATTGAATGATCTACTCTTCCATCTATCTCACGACGGTAAATTAGGTCTTGATTGACTGACGTGTTGCTATACTAAACTGATTAAATGCTTACTTGCAGAGGATTTGCTATTTATATATATATACATATCATTATATTTTCTGTGTTTTTTTTTGTGATTAACTCGATTTTGCCTTTTTTTTCTCACTTGCATATATATTAGTTTTCCCCTTTGATATGCGTGTATTTCTTGCATGTATGTGTGTGTATCTGTGTGCATTTTTGTTCGACTTATTTTGTCTAATGCTTTATGGGGGGAAATAACGTACGTCAATATTGGCGACGTTTTTTTTTGTTGTTAAAAAATGAAGTAGAATATACATAGTCGATATGAGAGCAAAAAACAAAAGCCTTTAACATTTCTTTAAATAAATGGTTTGCTTATGATATTTATGGAGAGAAAATAAAAAGCAACAAATATTCCATATTATTATTTAGAGCAAGATATTGATCCCAAAGATCCAACAGCAATAGCAAAGGTAAGAGCGATAACACCTGCTTTAAAAAAATCGCCTTTTTTTTGCACCAAGTTCTCAATGATAAAATAAAAAAGATGCATTGAAAATTGATTATTTTCTAAATTAAGCTAATGAAATAAAATGGATCATGTAAAAGACACGGTTTCAGTACATTAGTTGCTGCTCATTTATGTTAAATGTAGTACATTATCTCACAGTGCATACTTAATTTACTAACGCTAAATTTTTAATAAGTGACAAATGATTTATTAGATAAAGTTGAGATAACCTACACACTACAACAAAACTAACGAAATCTATTGCTAAAAATCTAAACAATTTTTTATTTAGAATCTTGATCGAAATTCAATTCAAGAACAATCTCGTCGATTGACTACACTCAGTTTACCATTATTCGAATAATACTAATTGATTTGAAGAAGAAAAAAACTAACAACTTCAAACTTATTTTTTAACTCTCAGATATGTTTTGTTTATGAATTCTAAACAAGAACAGTTTCATTCCGTCCTATTGTTTTGGTTTTTAAATTTAACAAGAATGAAAATGATATAATGTTGCTGTTTTTATAGAAGAGATTGTTTTACATACACAGAAGTTAACAAGCTTGAATGAATACATATATGAAAAAGAAAAAGGAAAACACAAAGATAATATTAATCTACGATACAAAAAGTTTTTTTTAAATCATGTTCTTTTCTTAACGAAGTGAAAATGGAAGAAGATTAGCATGAAGACCACTATGAAAAAGTTTGTAAAGAAAAAGACCATAAGCAGTAAATGTAGCTACAGCATTGATTGTATAACCAAAAGTACGTGCTGGATGATTTATAGCAGCATCAAATGTATAACGTCTAAGAGAAAATATTTAAATAAAATATATATGTTTCTCCTTTTATTGGTATTAATCGATAAACTTACCCAAGAATAAAGAGACCTGATAATGCTGGAATAATACGAAGATTATTTGATTCAAGTACGGAAGCTAAAGCTAATTTAGCAGCAGTAAATGCTAAAAATGATTCAGTTGTATTTGATAAAATTCTTTGTGTCATTTGTAAATGATGATTTCCTTCAGATGATGTTGGTTCAATTCCATCTAAAAAAATAAAAAATATTTATTGAATTTCAAATAAATATTAATCTACATTTAGCACGAACACCAATAACACACCAAACAGCTGTCACCATTGAAAGTCCCTAGGAAATATAACATTCTAATGAATATGATGATATAATATAATTTGTATGATTACTTCTAGGCCAGTCCATCGAAGAGCATCTAAATAAAATTCATAAATAATAGAAAAAAAAGATTAAATTAATCTTACAAGCAACACGATCAGCAGCCGATGATAGAATAGGGATGCCAATTGCAGGAATATTACGATTAGCTAAAAGAAGAAGACCACCACTAACACCAAGGCCAGCTAAGATATAGGGTCCATTTCTTTGAAGTTCAAATTCGATAGTACGAGCTGTATCACCAGCTCGTGATGTATTTGTTGAATGAGCCATTTAATATCGATTAGAATTTAGATGCGTTTATCTATAAAACTTATTAGAATATGTATAAATAACAGATAAAATATCATATGACGTAGTAATTCTTTATAAATACATATATGTGCACACAAGTCGGAAAGGAGAAAAAAAAGCTGGCGATTCATCCACACTCTCTCGATGTAATAGAAATGATGACGAAGAAAAGGACGCAAACACAATGTTCGACGATCGAAGGAAAAAAAAGACGAAGAAAGAATCTCTCTGCTGACTGACTACTATATGGTTAATGCAATGGGGTTAATAAGAATAGAAAATCGGGTAGGAAAGAAGAAAAAAAAGAGAGAATGCCGAAAGCAGCAATAATAAGAGACCTATAGATTTGGCAAGATAAAAACCTGGTTAATTTATATGTACTAGTCGACTCCAGGTAAAATCGAATAAATATATGACGTTTCTCGCGCAAATGAAATAAAAGAAAAGCATTTATTGGTTAAACGATCACTCTGCAATGTGTCATAATAGTTAAAAATAGATCGTCGACACTGCTACGTTTTTTAGATAAATAATTTATGTAGTAGAGATCTTATATGACAAAATTCATCTCAATAGCTCAATTGAGAAAATTAAGTCTAACCAAATTTGACAGATAATTTTTATGCATTTCACGCAATCAAAAACGTATTGAAGCTATAAAAATTTTATATACTATCAAATACTTTATTAGAACGTGACTGAACTTGCTTAGTTGATATTACAGGTTAGCCCTCTTTTCTATAATTTAATTGCTCAACAGCGATGATATAATGAGCATGAGAGAAATACAATACTAAATAATAAAGATGATATCTATACAGCTGCTAATATACACATATCCAAGGATCTTTATTATGTATATTTCAAGAGTAGAATATCCAGCAGTATGATAATATCAACTTTACTTGATGTTAGATCTGCTTTATTATTTAATCTAAATAAATGAAAGTTAATGGTTAACATATAGATTTATTAATCAGTCTACATGTGCAATCATGATATGAAAACTAATATTACTTAGTCTATAACCTTCAGGATTACACATATCAATGAAAAAGAGAACTTTTCGCGTTTTACATGGAACAACACTCTTTAATTCAAATAAAACAATCATCAGTTATCAATATTATATGATATTCTTTATTATATAACATATATTCACAACAAATATATTAATCTACTAAACTAATTAACACAAAAGATTATTAAAGTGATCATGATTAATATAAAGTTTATCTAATTCTATAATTAATAGACAATATACAGAAAAGAAATGTTTTTTTTGGTTTAACATTTAACATTTTTTGGATAATCACATCGATCCATAATAGCATTAAATCGAAGTGATGCAGGACAATTTCGACTTAATAATCTACCATCTGGATTTACTCCATCTAGAAAAGATATATTAAAAACTAGGTACAACAAAAATAAACATGCAAACTACCTTCATAATGAACACATTCAAAATATTTTCCATTGGCACAATTATATTGATCTGTAAAACGACCATTGGATCGACATCGAAAATATTCTTCAAAAAAAAAATATATACTAATAATTCGAATTCTATTCAAAAATTGACTAACCGATCTCACAAAATTGTCCTGTGTATCCATTCTTACATAAACATGAAGCTGACTTAGAAGGATCTGTTGAATTTTCTTGACAAGTACCACCATTATAACATTGAACGTCTTGACAACTATTATCTGCTAAATATAATAATAATAATAACAATAAATAAACAGAAAAAAAAACTCCCACATATCATATTTTCGCAGAAACGCCCTGTAAACCCATTTAGACATGTACATGTTTCAGGATCAATCACTGTACAAACGCCACCGTTTCTACATGGACATATAATTGTATCAATTGTACTTGTTGTGACTATAAAAAAACAACGTATCGTGTTAGTAAAGAAATAAATTGAACATTTTTGTTTTAAATATATTTATTTTATATAGTGGTATGGAATAGAGATGTATATTTCTCGATATCAGAATAAATTACCTATAGTTGGTAAACATTGTGATCGAAAACTACCATCCGTACAACCACATATATAAGATGATTGAAGATCATAACAAATACCACCATTAAGACCTAATTAAATACCATTCATAATCTCTGTTAAATTATCTATACTCTACTTACAAGGATATGATGCACATGCACTGGTTTCTAAATAATTAAATAAAAGACCATGGATATTTTGAATTTCAAAACTTACTTATTTCGCAAAAGCTTCCACTAAAACCTGTCGTACAAAGACATTGATAACCATTTATTGTTGGAAGACATTCACCACCATTCAAACAGTCGTCCTGATTCAGTGGACTACACATATCTGACATAGAATTCATAGTTGTAATGATTGAAGGAGTAGTTGTTGGATATGTCGTAGTTTCTTTAAAATAAAATTGAAAAGAACTTTTACTTGTTTTTAAATCAAGAATCAACAATACTTTGACATGTTCTAGCAAATTCTCCATTTTCACATAAACATACATATGGAAATAATGGATCATTAATTTGAAAACATTTGCCTGTATCACACAGATTATCTGAACAAGTTAAATCTAATGTTACTATTAAAAATAAAACAAATCTATGAAATAATGTTCTGTTCATTTTGAAATAATGATACATACTATCACATAATCTTCCTGTCCATGATGGTAAACAACTACAAATAAAACTTGTTAAACCTTCAATACATACTCCATTGATACATGGACTTGATGCACATGGACTATGAGTAACTAAATGATATTAACTTCGTTGATATATTTAGAAGAAAAGAAAAACTGTGAAAACTAATATACCGTTACAACTTGTTAATGATACAGTATCATCAGCACATCGACATACGTAACCATAAAGTAAATTTGGTACTACTTCACATGTACCTGAACCACATGGATTTTGTGAACATGGATCTAATTAATAGAATAAATAATAACCTATAATATTGATATATATATAATTAATATAGACCTGCAGATGGACATGGTAAAATCGTATTTGAACCATTTTGACATTGACAATAGTATGGTAAAGTTGGACTTTCTGTTTCTATACATGTCCCTGAACCACAGTAAACAGAACTGCAGATATCTATACAGATAATAATAATTATTCAATATAAATAAATATTGTTTTATTTTTAATTTACTCACCTTCACTATAAACAAAATGTTGAAGAGTTAAAAAGAACAAGATGAAGATCATGTTGCTTTGATTTAATAATTTTTATAATGAAAATGAGAAAAAAATTCGTAACAATAATTTAACATTTTTTTTTCTTATTCTATTCTCAAATTTCATCATGTATAGTCACATAATGATACATTCTGATGGCGTCAATTAGTATTTGAAATCGTTCAATCACATCGGTTGTCTCGTCATTTGCTTTCACAATGGGCGTAGTCATAATCATCATGAATATACTTTACGAAATGTATACAATAGAACCTAGGAAAAAGAAAAGAAGTTGATACAATATACATTTTACCTGTAATATGATCCTCATTATCAAACAAAGACAAAGTCGAGACATCTAATGGAAGAAAATGAATTAAAGAATTCATGAGTTTGTATATAATACTAGTCAAGATTTCTTATTGAATAAAACTGAAATATCAAAGTACTACGGAACAATATTGTCTTTAATAAAACAATTGATTGAATATTTTCATTCCATTAAAATTAGATTTGAAGCCTTACAACTTTTTTTATGAAAAAAAAAATAACATAATAAAGTAGTGTATTCCAATGTTTTACGAACTCGGTCAATATGATCTCATTTCTGAAATGTATGCTACACGTTTGTATGTCTCATTCACTTTGAAATTCAGTGTTCGCAAAATGCTTTTTTTGACTGTAGAGTTTGTGAGAATTATTAATGATTAACTATGGTATATATTAGATTTTGAGTCAAGTTGTAAACAAAAAAGTAGAAGCACTTGAAGGTAAAGAAATTAAGAAGGATGAAAAAAATAAACAACGAAGTACTCGAATAACAAATTGTAATATTTATGATGATTTATCCAACGTACGAAAAGAAGATGTGTTATACATTCTATAAAGATGAATCTTTTTTTTTGAATATTATTATGCATAGAATGAAATTCTAATCTAAAATTTGTTCTTCAAAATAGGGTAAATATGATCAAGTTTCAGTCTGATGTAAAAATAATATTAAGTTGATCTACTTGAGTAAAAGAAATAAAAATCTATTATGGTAGCACATGATTTTAATCATCGATAAACTCTGAATAGAAGAGAGATGTTAATGGCGTAATAAAAAGATACTTATATTATAATAATATGAATTATTACCTAGTTAAAGTTTCTTCCTTGGAAAAAAAATAGAGAATACAACTAGAATTCTTATATTTTCAATATTTGGAATGATGATATATCACTGAATGAAGCTTTTCGTTTTGCTAAAAAAAATATTCTTCACCAACTACATTACAAACACTTGTTTTTTAAGAATGATGCAAAATTCTTTGAATATTATGTTAAATCGATGCTAATTTTAAAGAAAAATATTATTTCATTATTAGTTCTCATCGAAAGTGTGAACAACAGTCAAAGAAAACAATTTATATTCTTGTTACATGTTGAAGAAGAAATGTTTTTTTTATCCGTCGCTAAGACACATGTTAAGTTTACATCAACACTCTTTAATTCTTTCATTTCTTTTTCTTTCAATCGTTCTGTTTGATTTTTGTCTATAGACATTTACCTTTACTTTTTATTTTTAATATTTTAAATTTTTTTTACTAACCATTTTCTCTTGGATTATTAATAAGATTATAATTTGAATTGAAAAATCAAATTGACTTGAAGTATGTCGAAATAGTTTTTTTATACAAATTAATATAAATGTCATTTCTTGCCTCTTTAGTGCATTCGTTTATGTGAATAATTTTACTTCTTGCAATCGTTGCATCTCATTGATTGTAAGTGAAAAATTATTCTACTTCAAAAGCTTCAGTTATTTTAAAATAAACGCAACACATTCATTTCTGAAGAGTGATATTTAATGGTTGCACATTCACATATGTATTAGATGTCTTGTTATATATGTATATTGTAGCAATATTACAAATAAAATGAATTCGAATAACGTGGATTATTCATTTACAAATCCAACATGGAATCTAGCTTCGGTAGACAATTCGGCTATGCAACCTGGCACGTATGATAACTCATATGCAGTTAATGAACCGAATTTAGATCCTGATATGGTAAGTTAAAAAGTCAAATAATAGTAGTAATTTTTATTACGTAATTCTGATCATTTTAAAGAATAGTATTTATTTTAACTTCATTTTTCTTTTAAGTCAACTTGGAATAATACACAATATGTTCCTCCAAATGCTAATCGTGGAGCATATCCTCCAACAACAAATCAAGAATCAGGAGAATATTTTAATCAGCCCGGACCTCCTACTCAAGCGTATCAACAACCAGAAGAATATATGATGCAACCTAATTTTCCTCAGTCTTATCAACAACCAGATCAACAATTTATGCAGCCTGGTCCTCCTCCTGCAGCTCAATATTATCAACAACCTGGTCCACCTCCACCTGCACCTCAATATTATCAACAACCGGGTCCTCCTTCACCTCATCAATCCTATCAACAATCTGGAGAACATTTTATACAGCCTGGTCCTCCTGCACCTCCTCCTCAATCCCATCAACAACCTGGTCCTCCTCATCCTTCTCAATCTTATCAACCACCAAATATTTCACATCAAAATAATGGAAATTATAATAATGGTTTTGATTTTAATGCCAATGCAAATGCAAATGATCAATATAGTATGCCGAAACAATCACGTCCTAATGGTTATTCTAATGAACAAAATGTTAATCGGGGACCTAATCTCCCTCGAATCCCACAACCAGTGCAAAAGCGTTCACCAAATATTGATCATAATCGTCCAGGATTTTTTACAGATTATGGATCGAATAGAGAAAATCATAATTCTCATTCTCCAAATCAATCACCCATCTCAAATCGTTTTGACCAAAAATCAAAATCACGTGGTAGTCCGACAAAAGATTATAGTTTTGATTTAATGCATTCAAGTGTTAATCGTCCAAATAATTTCAAGATTCATGAATATCTTTATGGACTTTCAGCACCTGATCCTGGTTAGAAATAAATATAGCTTATTAAAAAATTATTGTTTTATTTTATAGGTAGTTATGTAAATGCATATAAAAATCAACGTCGCCGTTTAGAAGATGAAAAAGCCAATCATAAATCAGTTATTACCGAATATAAAAGTTTTGTACAAAATGGTGGTTTTGGTCCTGCTGCATTTGGTAAAAGTCCTCAACAAACCTACGAAGAAAAAGTTTGAAATTATTATTTTTATTGTTTTATTATTCATTCTAATTGGTTTATTTTTCAAGCTTGACACAGAGAAAAAGAGAAAGTCATATTCAAAACAAGTTCAGGAAATAAATCACAAGAAAATTGAAGAACAAAAACGTATTCGTAATAATGGTGGATCACCACAAACTCGAGCATATGCTCCACCTACACTGAGACGACCACGCGTAAAATCTATTGATCTGTATTAAATTATAAAATGTTATCGTTCTTTCTCTCTTTCTTTTTTAGCCACAGGTACTTACTTCTCAATTTCTATTTACACCAGAAGTAAAAGAATTCGAACGTAAACTCAAACGTGAACACGATGCCAATTGTAAATGTTCTTTACATGCAAAACCCTTTCAATCACTAGCTTGATAAAAATAGATATATTTATTCTTTAACTGATATATCAAACGTATGAAATATATAAACTATCTGTACACTTATTTTTGAAGCTAAATATGTTACTTTTTTTTTATCAATAATATACTGACTTTCAGGATTATTAATATATTAATGATATGAAAAAATCTTATTGGATAAGATCACATGTACGTTACTGTCTCTATCCAACAACACCATTGTCGAAGCTATCTTTTAACATATATATTTTTTTCTTTCTTTGATCTTTTTAAAAGATATATAGTTGAATTATAGAAAGCTTCGTTTTCTTTTTTTTTCTTTCAACTAAGAACTATAAGTGAAGCACAGTTGTAGTCTTCAAATATTTTCCAGTTTTTTTTTAATGTAAATTAACAGAAACCTGCTTTATTAATGAATACACGATAAAAAAAAGTAGTTGCTATATTTAACATCAATATATTGTTTTATTCAACATGTTTTTATATATAAATATTCACTAAAACTACAATCACAGCTTGTAATCATTTTTACAGTATCAATAACATTTGGTAATTCTACAATGCCTATAAAATACTCATCTATCATATAAATTTAGTTTAAATAACCTTCACCGTTAATAACGAAGCGATAAGCTATCAAATAAACTTTATGTCAATCGAATTGAAGCGATCATTATCAACTAGATGTTATTCTTTCATAACTATATTGATAGTACGTTTTTTTATGTTCGTTTTCATAATTGTATTTCATTCAACATTACTGAAACTAATTTATTAATGTGTCTATTCAAATTCTAAATGTAAATACTTCTCGGTAAACTCAATCTACTAAGGCTCTTTTTAATATACAGAAATTAAGTACGAAAGTTCTGGAATAAATAGAGCAATTAGTACGTAATAAACTTGATCATCATCATCAAAATTCAACTAGCCATCATCCATCATCTACATCGAATAGAGAAAAAAAAGAAAAACATGCATTGCTTTACGCAGTATAATGAAGAATGATATTAGATCATCATTAACAACGATGTTAAAAATCACTCACCAACTATATCGATCAAAGAAATATAAAAATAGCAACAACATTAATAAATAACTTGAGAAAATCTTTTCTTTTTAGAAAATTCATCGAAAGAAATGTTTTGTTGTTCAGAAATTCTTAATATTTATGATGATCTGGTTATTGCTTTCAGAATATTCTTAAGTTATTTTGATTGATTATAACGGTTATTCTATGTATATTTAAGACTCATAGATAAGACACAGTGTACATGAGTTCAATTACAGCATTTACCATCAACTACAAGGACAAATATAAAAAAACAATACCACTTGTCAATATAAAATGTTGAATTTAATTAACATAAATATTAATTTATTGATAATGGGATAAAATAACTTTTCTTTTAATTAGTTTTGTTTTCTTTAGAAATAAAATATTTACTTAAGTAATTATCGTACTATTAGTGCTCGTACAACTCGTGCTTGAATGCATTTTGAGCTACGTGCTAGTTATGATATCTGCCAAGCTTAATAGAACTTTTTTTGTCTGACAGTTTTCTATTATTCGGCTCAAAGCATAGAATACTATTTTGTTAGTGACTTGTTCATGTGTAATGAAATCGAATTGACGTTTGTTAATAATGACTTATTCATCTTAATTATTTTTTTCTTTTAACTTTCATATTCGATGAAAAAATAAGAAATGAATCACTAATCATAATAATAACAATCACAAAATAGCATCGACTATGCTTCTAACCGAGATAAAAATTCCATTCGATAATATAACTAAATTGTAGAAACGATAGAAAAAGAATTTTTCTCCTTCTTTTTGCCGCAAGGAATCTATGATTAGAATATACACATCCAGCATTTAAAGGAGATTCTCGTCTCATTAAAAAGACACTGTTTTTTTTTGGATGGTTCATCATCCGATTCATTTTAATTAACAAGCACGAATGCCCGTCAGCAAAGGAAAAAAATAGCAATAACTATCGATTGTATTAAGTGAACTTCAGCTCGTCTGATTACGCTTTATTTAGTGCACCCACATCCCTTATCATTGTAAACTAGAAGAAAAAAAACACGATGCAATCCGTGTGAAATTCGATCGGTATGCTATCCGCATAGTTATAAAATGTGATTTGACCTTCGATCTTGATCGAGTTTATATTTGACGTAAAAAGAGAACGAGAAAGCACGTAAATCCAGACTCATTTTTCTTTATTAAGTCTCGTTCTGCTGACACATTAGAAAATGAACGAGAAAAGCACATATTCTCTCTCTCTACTTTATACAAAGAATAGTTTTTAGAGACCGGAAGGCTACGCGATGAGAGTAAAGGTGTATTATTTACATTTTTTTTTCTATTTTTTCTATTTCTCTCCATAATCATTTTTCCTCTCTATTCACCTAATAGAGTTAGAAAGAATAAGAAGAAAAGATCAATCTTGAACACTCTTTTGCTATGCCCGGTGACTTTTCTTTTCCTTTTAGACTTTTCTTCTTTCTCTCTATTCTGATTCCGTCGTTTCCCTTGGCACAAGAGCACAACGAATAATAAATAAAGCCATCATGGATTCTCATTTTATTTAATAATTAATTAAGCGCGCTTGTGTTTCTTACGCTTCTTTTGTCCTCTTAACAGTCTCAAGACAAACCAATATATATATATATATATTTATATTGAAAGAAAATAAGGTAGACTCCTTGTACTTGACAATGTCATCCTCTTTTGAGAAAACAAGTATGTGTCAATATAAATTAGAACCAGCGATTGAAAAATAATGTATATGCCAATTCAGTTAGAGATTGTTAATGAAATATCATACACTACAAGAAAGAAAAGAAGAAATTCTATGTCTCTCTCTCTCTCTTTAATTTCTTTTCTTTTTCTACTTTGATCAGTGACATTTATCTACCTCCTGCTGTTTTATATAAATTTCTCACCTTAATACAAATAATAAAATGATTAACATCTTCTTTTTATTTATTTCTTTGTAGTTTAAGCGTTTATAATGATTCATTCAATCGTATTCAGATTGATAATTATATCGGTAGTTATTACAGCCGATCCCGGTCCATCAATTAATACCGGTTCTTATGCAGCACAACCACCACCATCTCCATATAATTATTATGAATATCGATCTCAACAACAACAACAGCAACAGCAGCAACAACAACAACAAACACCATCACCTTATACAGCTAAACGAAATCAGAATAGCAATAATTATGCTGATCAACAACAACAACAACAACAACAATCATCATCATCATCATCAATAGCAGCGACATATGGGAATACGCAAAAGAAATCATCAGCAAATCAATGTAAATTACATATCAATTGTCCAAGTAATTAAATCTTAATAATAAAATATATTATCAAGAATTTCTTAATCTTATTCTAGATGCTCGAAATCGTGTTACACTTGATATTCAAGGACCTGATGGTAAGTTTATATTTAAAGAAAAAAAAAACTGAAAGTTGAAAAAAATATTTTTGATTTTAGGACCGCCTGGTCCACCAGGAAAACAAGGCATACAAGGTCCAAGTGGTCCTCCAGGTTTACCAGGACCACCGGGTAAATCTTAACATATAAAAAAAAAATAAGAAACCATAAATAAATATTTTTTTTCAATTATTTTTTTCAAGGTCGTGATGGTTATTCTAATTTAAAATCGGCATTTTTTGTTGCATTAAATAAAACATATTCATTACAAGATAGCAATGCTATTATTGTTTGGGATGATATTATATTAAATAAAAATTATAATCTTAATAATAATACAGGTATCTACTATGCACCTATCAATGGTTTATATGAATTTAGTTTAACTGTTTGCGTACCAGCTAATCATATCGTATGTTTTTTTTGTACATAAAATAATCGAACTATATATATATTTGTAAATTTTAGGCATCAGTATCTTTATGTAAAAATACCGAAAACGTTGTACCATTATGGGTTGAAGGATTTTTAACAGCTGTTAAAAATCAAAAAGTACCTATATGGAATACAGCATCAACAACAGTTGTTTTATATTTACATCGTGGTGATCGAATTTATATACGTGCCCAATCACGTGAAGATGGAGATTATCATTTTAAAACATCGTTGTATGGTTGGAGATATTCAACGTTTGGTGGATTTTTGATACATGAAGACAATTAAATAAAAATTCTTTTTATTGTATTCTTTATGTGTGATATAGTTTCTGTACCCTTACTTTAACCTTTTCATTTGTAGTTGTATTAAAATAGACAAAGGCACTATTGAAAGAGAATGTGAAATATAAAACCAATATCACAAATTCCCCTTAAATAATGCTTTCGTTCGAATAAAATTTACTACTGTTAAAATAAATCTGTATGTGCATGTATTTATACTATTGTATATCTCTCCATTTCTCTCTCATTCTCTAGTCGAATAAGAAGAAATCAACGTATATATTAAACGCATTCAAGCATGTATTGCTGATGATGAGAGAAAAAAAGAAAAAGATAATAATGACTAGTTTGATCAATACGAATAGTCATCAGTCATCGAACACACACACACACACATATATCCATTCATTTAACGCCCCCTTCGCGTTGCTCGAAGGTATGTTGAAAACAAACAGACCGAACACAGTTGATATTATCGTGTCACATATATTTTACCTATTGGATATCTTTTCAACTATCTGTCTTTCTTCATACATTTTTGAAATAGAATAAAATCGAAATGAATCATATATAATTGACAATATGATTTATAATCTTATCTTAAAAAAAGACAAGCTTAGACGATTAACGTTTTGATATTGTCATGATATGAAAATAAATGAATATGTTTTATTTCAAATTAAACAAAAGGGAAAACGAATACTTAATCAAAAGAAAAATATATTTATATATGAGCATAGCTAAGTGTGTTTACAAAAAATTTCTTCAATGGATTTAGAGTGCAAATAATGTATCACATTTAAATGATATATAATTAAAAACGTCAACTTGATTAGTGGGTATCTAACAAAAGAGCTTAGAATGTTATTTTGATCATTTAAACAGGAGCTTATTTCAATTGAACTTAAAATATGAAAGATTATTTATAAATTCAGATCAACATACATGTGAATGTTATAGAAGTCTAAAATTTCTTGTATTCGATCAATTTGTTGAATAGAAACTTAATGTTTTTTTATCATAGCGACCAGATTTAAAATTATTTTCTTTTATCTCTTTTTTTTACTAAATGTCATCATGTAATAATATTAAATATTTGATTATTAATGCCGATGATTTTGGTTATTGTCCAAAACGTGATAAAGCTATAATTGATTTATTCAAACAAAAATGTATTTCATCAACTAGTCTTCTTGTTAATGGTTCTAATGTTTATCAAGCATGTTTATCTGCTAAAATGGTTAATCTACCAATGGGTATTCATCTAAATTTAACTGAAGGACGACCAGTAACAAATAATTTCAATCGAATAGAATCTTTAATTAATTCTGATGGTTTAATGCATGGAAAAATAGGTTTACGTAATGAATTAGAAAAAGGAAATATTAAACAAGAACATATAGAATATGAAATTGAAATGCAAATAAATAAATATAAAGAATTAAATGATAATAGATTACCAAGACATATCGATGGACATCAACATATTCATGTTCATCCGATGATTGTTGAAAGTATAGCTCGAATTGCTAGACAATATGGAATAAATTATATTCGTGCATCTCAAGATCAAATGATTCTATCATTTGATACGGATAATTTATTTTATAAAGAAATTGTTAATCAAACAAAATCTTGTTTAAAAATATTTGATAAATATTCACTTATTTATCCGAAATATTTTTTTGGTATGACAATAATGGGTCGAGAATTTACATTGAATAATATTGAAATATGTTTAAAAATTCTTGAACAAAATCAAACGGAACATATTTTTGCTGAACTTATGTGTCATCCAGGTTATCCAAGTGATCCATTGATTGGTGGTTGTGGAACTGAACAACCTGATGAATTTTCACAATCAATTGATCGACAATATGAATTCGATATTTTATCAAGCGATTATTTAAGAAATTTATTAGAAAATTATAATGTCCGACTTAGTATTTATGATGAGATCTTTTGAAAAAAATATAAAGTTTTATTTGCTTTAACATAAACATGTTAAACGATGATGAGGTAAACGTGGATGCCAATCCATATGAATCGAATAATCACCACGAAATGGTTGACGAGCTATTGGCCATGGACAATGATTATGACTATGGCTACGACGTTGAAAATGACCTGGCGCACGATTTGGATATCGATAGTTACGTTTAAGAACCGGTTCTTGAGGTGATTGATCATCAGTTAATTTTAACTGACTTTCAGAATTTTCAACAGCTTTATTCACAGCATTGAATTCTATAAAAAAATGAAAATATAGTTAAATTTGAATAAACTGATATGTTTAAAATACCTTTATCATTTTGTAGAGCTTGTCGATATTGATTCATTGATGGATAATAGGCACTTCGACTTCCATCTTCTCGACGAACTGCAGCTGCCTATAAAAGTATTTTTCGAAGAATTATCAATACGTGTGAAAATCATCTTACACCAATCGGTGGACATTCGTATTCATTTTTCATTAGAATCCGATAATTCTTAACTGCTTCTACAACATGTACTTTCGAATCTTCATTAGCTGCTTTTAAAAAAGCACTAGCACCGTGTCGCTCAGCTGATGTTAAATTTTGCATTTCTTCTAAATAATCAGGAGCTGGTGTTGGTAAATGATTCGATGTTTCTATAAAAAAAAATATAGAGAGAATATTGATTATTTTTATTATCATAAAATTACGTTCACGCGATGGTAGACGAGCTGGTGGTGCACCATAAGCATTTGGAATTTCTCGCATACCTGTTCTCATAAAAACTCTAAATTGTAAAAAAAAATAATAATGAACTATAAAACTCGATAATTCGATTATATACAATTTTGGATGTGGATTATTTTTTCGTCCAGCTGATGTTGGTCGTGTCAAAGTTCGCTGAGTTTGTTCTGGATCAGCAAAAAAATGGCCATGTGTTGTTTGTGATGTATCAGGTTTCGACCAAATCGAACGTGATTGAGAACGAATAGCTTCTAATTCTTCCTCAAACTGTTTTCGTCTAGCTAATTGACAATAAGGATCTGAAACATATTGTGATCTTGTTCTTGGTTCATTATGACTATGGAACGAACGAGACATCATAGTTATTGTCAATAAATTAATTATACAATTTCTTTTACCATTACACTATGAGTCGTCATAGAAACAATACATTAGAATAAAATCTATTTTGTTTTTAATAGGAAATTAATTTTAAAATAATTCTTTTATTTTATTTATAATTATGAGAATAATATAAAGCATAAAGAAAAAAGGAGGATGAAAAAATTGAATAATGGTAAGAGATCAGATTTCTTTAACCAATCAAAATAAGCATGGCATGTAGCAAACGAGCGGACGAACGCAAAGGCAAAGACAAGAACAGGAAGCGGCGCGCTGAGCATGGCTAGTGAAGCCTTTGCACTTTCAATGTCAAATACATACTGATTGCAGATCTCAAGAGATTCACCTAGTGTTCGACCAACTTGTTATCATCTTCATATTTTTTCAGATCACATGGTGTCCTAAACAGACAACCGGGCATTAATTTTTTTTTTTAAAAAAAATAAAATATCATACTGGCGTCGACCACTATCGCCCTACTGATTCAACGGAGCTACGGTAAAAAGTTTTTTGTTGAAATTTTTTTTGCTCAATTAAATAATAATAATATCTCCTTGTAGGCTCCTTTAAAAGACGGATGTCTATTATTGCTTATTAAAATATATAAATATAAATGGATTTGACACCTGATTTAAGTCATTTAACAGAAGATGAAAGAAAAATAATTGAAGCTGTTATCAATCGACAAAAAGCTGAAGAAAAACAAGATGCTTTGGCTATACAGTACATTTAAATTGAATTTTTGCATTAATTATAAATATATATTTTCTTTTAGATCTCGTATGGATGATTATTCGGCTCCAGTTGCTATGGCTGGTCGTCGATTGTCACAACAAGCTAAAACATATCCTCATGGAAGTTTATCAAATGAATCAGGTGTTTGTTGTGAAGTATGTCAAAAAACGAAATTTGTTGGCGAACAAACAGGACGTCAATGTACAATATGTAAAAAACGTTTTTGTGTACGATGTGGTGTACGACTAAAAGGACATCAACATAATAAGGTTCTATATTAAATGTTTTTATCACTTTTTTTTTTAATATATTTTTATTTTAGACCTTTTGGCTTTGTAATATATGTCGTCAAAAACAAGAACGTTATTTTTCTTCACGAAAATTATTTCCAACAACAAGTTCAGTATCACAATTAACAACAACATCAATAAATGCAAATAATATCAATGATGAAAATTCAAAAAATATCTCAAAACAATATGTATCAGATTATATCTTAACACAACCATTTGATGCAAATGAAAAAGAAGATGATGATATAAAAATGAATAGAAATGGTGCTAATAATAAAAAAATTAATCCAACAATATCACAACAACGTAAACGAATACTTCCAACAACACATATACGACGTCAACAACATCATAAAGAATCAAAAGGTGATTCAAGTTCAGAACAAGATGATGATGCTGTTTCATCACCTGATTCAGCTTCAGCTATTGATGATAATGAATCTGTACCACGTGGTAAATATTTTTATTCAACTATTTCTTTCCTATATCTAGAAGAAGAAGAAGATAAAAACTATTATTGAGAGATTTCTTTAAAACACATTCCCCAAAAAACCTTTTCTAGGAAATATGCTGACAAATGATACCTGGCAGAAAGAAGAAATTTTGGCAGCTAAATTGGAAAATTTTTTAACAACGGTGCATTTCATTAATATATATATATTTTTATGATGCATGCACATTCAATATTCCCCTTTCCCTCGTGTTTTCGTCTGCTTCATCTTCTTCTTCTAGTTGTAGTAATTCCCATTGTTTTAATGTTTTTGTTTTTCCTGAGTATATATCATAATTTGTCTAGTGAACAAAGTTGATGAAGATGTTCTTTCATCATTACCATTATCACGTTCAACACATAATCCACAAATATGTTTAAAAGAATTTCAATATCATTCACTTGAAGACAAAGATATTGGACATGAAACAACATTAAAAGATTCAGGAATTGATACAGCTAGTTCGAGTACTATACTTAATGTTTTATCAATTGATCCATACAAAAAGGTTTCTTATTTTCTTCATAAATTTACACAAATAATCGTGGCATTGATCGTTGTTGTTATTATAAATGTCGTCTTGTGTCCTTGTGATTATTTATTGTATTTGATTATTGTTGTCATTAAGAGGAGGATAAAGAAAAACAGCAATAACAACAAATTTCTTCAATTAATTTTAGCCAACAACAACTTGGCGTTTCAATGAAAATCGTACAGAACAAATTGGTTATGTTCATCTTAAAAATAATACTTGGACATCAACTATACGTGATGAATTTGAACAAGGAAAAATGATCAAAGGAGATATATTCAGTGCATTAGGTTTGTTTGAATAGAAAAAAAAACGAAAATTTTAAAATTGATTTTTCATGTAGGATTAAAAATTCAAGGTGGTATACGTCAAGAAAATGAAGATGGAACTGAAATGATGGTTGCTGAAATAACTAAAGTTACACCTGGTAGTATAGCTGACAATAATGGTCAATTACAAATTGGTATATTTTCAAACAAAAAAGAACGAGTAGAAGATATATTATGATTTTTTTTCTCTAGGTGATCAAGTTCTTGAATGGAATGGACAAAAATTAACTAATTTAAATTATAATGATGTTTATAGAATTATTTCACAAAATTCAATTCAATCACCAGATATTCACATGATTGTTAAAAGACCGATCAGGTAAAAAAACTGTAATTTTTCTTTCTCGTTTTCTTTTTTGTTTGTTTGTTACATGCAAACGACAGCCTTTATAATTTATTATATTCTCATGAGATTTTCAAATCTCAAAGGAATTTTTTTTTTTTTTTTGAAAATTATTATTATTATTATTGTTTTTTTTCTTTTGTTCGATAGATATTCAACATTGTCAAGTAATGAACAATCATTAACAAATCCTCCTATTTCAACGATATCTTCACAAGGTAAAGATTACATTTCATGTTAATTATTTTGATAATTAGTAGTAAGGATTTCATCTAGTCTATTTAATTGTGCGTCACTATTGCCGCCACTGTCGTCTTTGCTTCCTTCCTTCATCACCACCACCACCACAACACAAAAGAGAATAAGCAAGAAGAAGAAAAAAAATCATAATGAACTGTACGGAGAAAAAAAGCAGAAGAAGAAGAAGAAGGAGGAGGAGGAGAAGAACGATGACGAACAACAGCTTGGACAAATACTCGTTCTTTACGAATGCGTTATACTTCATTCTTTTCTCATCTTTCGCTTCCTTTTGCCGTCTGAATACTAAATCTTTTTCTTCTCTTCTTTTCTTTTTTACGGCAGTGCGCAAGCTCCCAGCAGAGCTAGTATAAGAGAGAAAGAAGAAAATAGTCACCACCACTACTACTATACTTCTACCATACGCCACCCTTTTCTGTCGGAGTTCATTACGACAAACGTTGAGCTCAATGACATTGACAGAACAACCATCAACACGAATGGTTGTCTTTCATAATGTCGTGTTTAAAAATGACAATGGTTGTGATAATGATAATGGTATGATTTCCGTTGGATTACCAATTAAAAAACAAGCACAACGTGTAGAAAGATCAAGTGTTTTTGAACGTTTATCAAAGCGTCTTTCAAATATCTCTCATTCAACAGCTCCTAATGAAACTCCTCCTCCACCATTGAAATCTTCATCACAACCAGCAACATTTGTTTTATCACCACCATTATCATCTTTCGAACGACAAAATTCTTCCGAATCAGATTTAAGTTTATCGAAATTAGATATAACTGATGAATATTCTGGTATAGGAGGAGGAAATGAATCATTAAATACATCTCAACAAACAAGTGAATTAGATATAGCAGGAAGAAAAACATCTGGTTCAACAACTAGTCATAGATTTACTGATTCATTTCGAAATATTTATTCACGTTTTTCACAAAAACGTTCAATAACGAAAACAAATACATCAACATCATCATTTGGTAGTAATACACGTTTAACAGGACAGTCGTCTACTTCCAATCAAAAGTCAATATTTGAACATGTTTTCTTCTTTTGTTGTTCACAGTGTTTTTCTATTAGAAATGAATCTTCATCAGACTTGACTATACCTCATCGTCGTTCTTTTTTATTTTGATAAAAAACAAATATATACATATATATATATATATATATTTATTATTTTTTTTTATGATTTATATATTTATTCAAGTGTGAATATTTTATTTAGAACATGATACAACAACAAAGAAGAATGAAAACAATATTCGATTACAAGTATATGATTTTTTATTAGGAATATAAAAAAGACAAGAAATTAATCAATTGGAATATTTTATTTTTGTTTAGCTTTCATTTCAATATAATAATCATCGAAAAGAATTTCTTGTTACGGTACACGGTGCTAGAGATCTTAATATACAACAAGGATCGTTTGCTTGTCAATTATCCATGCAATATGGACGAGATTCATTGTAGGTTTTCACAACAAAAAAAAATTAGGCTTACAGGATTATAGTTAATGTTTAATAAAAATAGTAACATAATTAATTAATAATCATCATTAGACAGTATTTAGTCGTTGTGTATTAATTACAATAAAGCTTAACAGATAGTTTTTTTCTTCTGTGCATCTCAGAACTCATTACATTGGAAATGTGAATGACACAGTTAAAAAGAAGTGAGAGAGAGATCGATCTTTTCCATCAAAGAAAGATTTAAATATCTGGAAAGGATATAAGTTGATTAGTTTCTATGCAATGAAAAGTATTTTTTCCCCTTTGGCGATGTCCTTCGTCTTAGGAAAGAAAGAAAGAGAAAAGTCTTAGTTATATTCTTCTAATATATAAAAATATCCTACTTTTAACTTTATAAATAATTGTTAAGAAAAAGAAAAGACATTAGAAAGACATTCACATTAACAAGTAGTACATTAAAATATCGTTAGTTCATGTCAAAAAATTTGTCTCTACAGGGCTTTATATACAGAAGCTTTAAGTTAACTCTTATAGGTAGTCATATATAAAAAAAAAATTTCTTTTTTTCTTTTTTATCATTTATTCAAATACTATTTTGATGTTTATATTAGCAAAAGAACTTATTAGAATTCGTCTAACAATAATGATGTTATAATCAAAGTATTTGACATTGTAAACTAGATTAACATGGAAGTACTTTCTATGTCATAGAGAAAAGTGAATTATTGTATCTCAAAATAACTTCATATAATAATAATATAGTGAATTTTGTAGAGAAAAAATTTAATCGTCAATATAAATAATTCTTTTTATTACTGAATCTTTCTTTTTTTTCTGGATAATGCTCCACGGAGATTTGATCATACTATCCGATTAGATCTAAAAAGCTGATCATGAAGTTGTGTCATTAGATGAATGGGATCTAATCAGTAGACACAATCTAGTTAACATAACTTCTCAAAAAATTTTGTTTTTTTTTCATACCTTTTTCATATTCGAACAAATGAAATTATATCGAATCAGTCGTTCTGACCTTCTTTTTATATAACTAAAGAATCCAATCATTTTGAGATATGTAGATGGACTTATATGCATATTTTATATTCTTTTTTTTCAATAAAAGAAAAATTTTCCGAATAAGTGTACACATAAAGAGCTAAGAAACACTGATCGATCTGTACAAAATAATTGATAGATGATTATGCAAGGAAGAAACTAACATTTGCTTGTTCATCTCATTATTTGGTTATTGAGATATATCTCATGAGATTTCTAAATCACCTTATGGTCAAACCAATCGATCAAATAAATATTCATGTCAACTCGACATGAACGAGACTAATTTGCCTATGACTGACTTATATCAGCTGTCATTTTGAAATACTATATATACAAATTACAAATTATCCTTTTTCATATCATTAATTTAGATCAAAAGAACAAAAATGTACAAAACCACAGACATGTTCTTCTGGTATTTGTATATGGAATCAACGTTTAACATTTTTTGACATTGATACACTGAATAATTTATCCTTATGGATAAAATTAGTTGATCTTGATCGTAATCAAGAAGTCCTTGGCGAGGTAAACTATATAATCTTCAAAGAAATATATATATACCCTATCTATTTTTCATTAGAATTGTATTGCATTAAATGATACACATATAAATCTTAATGGATTACCCGAATGGTATAACTTAACACCTAAATATTCATCTTCACATCGATTATCAACAAAGAATTTCACTCGAAATGATAGTAATACATCTGAAATTGAACAACAGAGTAATATATATATATTCTTTTTATACACAAACTTATTTTATCTTTATCATAAAGAATCACCATCAAATCGCGTTCTTCCAACTATCAATACAAATAATGAATTATTACCAACAATGATTGACACGTAAAAAAAAGAAAAACCTAATCAATCATTTTTATATGAATGATTTATTTTTCTAGGACACAAACAAGTAATCGTAAAAGACAATTGCCAAATATTCCTGCAGCTCAATTACATGCAAATAGAGAAAAAGGTTAATTTTTTTTTCAAGAAAAAAAGAAATATTTTACATTTATTTTGCTTTTTAGTCTCCCAAGATTTAATTCAAAAAGCAACACAATTAAAATTACGGCTTCATATGCAACAACAGCAACAACAACGGACATTAAATGAAACAAATCAATATGAAAAACGACAAATGTATGAAGATCGTATACAAATATTTAATAATGAAGTTAATCAAATTCCTACGCCATCAAATAATCAACGTTCAACATTTCAATCAAGTAAATCTATTGATACTGATTCACCACATCTACATCAAACACCATTAATAACTAAACCATATGAATCAATGACAAATTTAACACAAAAAACTTTACCACATACAACTATGATAAATTCAGGTTTAAAAGAAAAAACACTTTCACGACCACGTATACCAATTATAAGAGATAAAAGTGCACCAAATACTTCATATCTTAATCCAATATCAACAAGACGAACAACATCAGCTGGACAACATCGAATTGATTTAGGAAAAACGAAATTAAAATCATTTGAAGAAAAATATCAAAAAAATCTTAGGAAAAGAGGTAAATAAAGAAAAGAAATTTCTTTTGAATGATTTATTTTTGTTTTTAATATAAGAACCTTCTGAAACTCCCGGTGATGATGTGGATTCAGATGGATCAGAATTATCAACTGTTTCAAAAATTAGTTCAGTTAGTATGTTATCAACACAATCAGAACGACCACGAAATGCTCGAAAACAAGTGTAAGTTTATGTTCAGCATTTTTTATTCGTCATTAAATTCTCTTTGATTTTATTTAGTGTACAAACACGTGTTAATGATCATCATCATCAATTTCATCGTGAAGATGAAGTACAATTAAATGAAGAAGAACTTCGACAAATGGCTATGCGTACACATGATACAGTGACAACTACTCCAATAACAAGTACTACCACAACAACAACAACGACAACAGCAGGTGCAGCAACGACTACAACAACAAAAGATAATCTAGTATCGTCATCTACAACAGCGACTGGTGATAAAATTATTAATATAGGTGGAACAACTAAAACTGATCCACGTAATGATGGCACATTATCAGATTCTGTTTTGAGTTCACAAGGTGAACCAAACAAGAAACGACGACCATCGATGTCATCGAAAGCACTTGTCATACTTGGATTATCAAAAAAGACGAATAGTGCATCTAATCTTGGCTATGGTAAATATAGATTATAAAATGTCAGAAGAAAGCAAATGATTTATTATTTTTTTATGTATTTTTCTAGGAAAACGATTTGGTTTTCAACGTAGCGAAGAAATAGGTGTACAACCTCATTTACGTAGTAGAACATTACAAAGACAAACTAGTAAAGAAAATGAAACACCATCAAGTGCACCACCTCTAGATTCAACACAATCACCACTTGTATTATCTCATCATCGTGATCAATGTCATTCGATGCCACACGATATGAAGTAAATGATTATTATTAAACTTTATAGAAACTATTCATAATTAGCGAGAATGTGGTAATGATTGATTGATAGAAACCTTTGAACTTGGATCCGGTTGATCAAATTTTTATCGGGCCTGAATCTGATTTATTCAATATTTTTCCGATCAGATCCCGGTTAATTAAATTCTTTTTTTCTTTTCGGGTCCGGAAATAGTTGATTAAACCTTTTTTTTGATCCTAATTTCAGATCATATTCAATCCTTTCAATGAAAAAAAATTTTTCCTATTTCATACTAATCATAATTCTATAAATAGTAGATTTTATTTTTATCAAAAATAATTTTGGACCCACACCCCATCAATAGAAAAAATGTTTAACTTGTACTGTAATAGATGATAATATTCAGATGAAATAAAACAATTAATACTAATACTGATTTATATACTGTTGACTAGTTTTCAATAAATAAAAAAAAGTACTGTCTATCTTAAGAGACATGTTAACTATCTAATTCATTGAGATATCGTATATAATAATAATAATAACAACCAGTTGATATTTCACAGATCTTACTAAAACGCTCTAGGGATGTTTTCAATTAAGCACATAAATCTATTTTAGCTACATATATAATGTATAAATAGATTTTAGTAGGCTAAAAGGATTTTATCTTATTTATGATTTTATTTTCTTAGACTATGGTCCGGTGGTCTTAAATTACCACATGAACATCAATTTGCTGATTTTATTGACAATCTAGGTACTGGACAATTAGTTGGCCGACAAGTTCTTGCTTCTCCATGTCATGGTGAAATTCAAGTTAGTCTTCGTGATCAGCATGGTTTATTAGAAGTTGAAATAGTTCGAGCACGAAATTTACTACAAAAATCTCTCTATAAAATGCCACCTGGTACAATATTTGAATTATTTTTATGTTTTTCTTTATTATTTATTTTTTTTTCATAGCTCCATATGTAAAAGTTTATTTACTTGATGGAAAAACTTGTGTTGAAAAACAACGTACACGAACGACTCGTCGAACACTTGATCCATTAATACAACAAACACTTGTTTTTAAAGAAAGTTATCGAGATAAAGTTTTACAGGTAAAATATATTGATGATTTAAATTGAAAAAAACAAAATTTTTTTGTGAATATTTAGATTGGTGTTTGGGGTGATTATGGAAAATTAGATCGAAAAGTGTTTATGGGCGTATGTCAAATAAATTTAGAGGATCTTCGTTTAATAAGTTCTGCAGCTCAAGTACTTGATTGGTATAAATTATTTTCCGCTAATTCTCTAATGAATAATTATACGATTGTCCAACAATCTCCGAAACGAAGAACTTCTATAGCAACAAATGATTCTTTTAATTCATTCAAAACTAACTCTAGGTATGAATATTAATTTCAATGAAAAATATATTTTATATTATTTTTAAATTACTCATTTAGATCTTGATTCTTTCTTTTTTTTCTTGGTCCCAGTTGGCTTGCCGAGATTACATTCTCTGTATGTATGTATGTATGTACGTGTGTTTCTCTCTCTCTCTCTCATTTCGATATGGTTGGCGTGTATGCATGTAACGAAAAATATTTTTTAGTTACAATTTATTTATGGATTATGCTTGTTTTCTTTCCCTTTTCTTCTTTTTTTGTACTCTCTGTTTTTTTGGCCAGATGAGAAAATAAATAAATGTGTATTTAATGATTTTTTGCAGTTTTATTTATATTAAATCAAATAAGAATTAGACTTAATTATGAAAATTTAGAACATGATGTACAAAGTACCCAAAACAACAGCTGTTAAATGTCATAGAAAGATCTTATCAATATATCTGATCGATTTTTTCACAAGATAGTTCTATGCCATTGAAAAAGAAAATTATTATTTTCAGTTTTATCATCAAAGCTGGATATACATATGTCTATTAATAGTTTCATTCATACTGGAATTATTGTCAAGTGATTCATAAAGGAAAAACATGTGAACTATCATTATAAAACTTGAGAATATAATATTTGGCGAAAATATATTTTTTCTATTGACTAGGTCAAACTAAATAAATATAGTTAAGTATGTATTACAAGAGTAATATAATAATCAAAAGGAATATTTCAAGTAACTATTGAGATAAATACTAGGCAAAGTGTTTTATTTTCTATATCTTTATATACATTCTTTTTTTCGTTCGAATCATTGTTTATTTGTAATGTACGACGTCGTAAAAGATTGATTATATATATATTGCAATAGAAAGAAAGAAATTCTTTTTCTCCCAGCAATTAATGTCTAAAAACTCTTCAAATGACAATATATTATTACATTTCTATTTATTTATATGATTTTCCTATTATCACCTGAACAAACAACATGGTAGAAGGCCGGATATTTCATATTAATTGATATTCGATCACCTCACATATATTATTGCTTATAAGGAAACAGAAATCCAATTATCATTCATCATTTTATTGGCATAGAAGTCTTTATATATATATATATGTATATAGATAAGAATAAGAGGAAAAAAATGACATTGGATATTATTTTTCATTTCTATTGTTATGTGACACATTATCATCGGTAATTTTATTCTTTTTTTTTTTTGATATTCAAATATTTCTTCTTCTTCTTCTTCTTTTTTTTATAACACTTATGTCTTTTATCTTTTAAATTGGTGTTGAGTGACGGTAATCCCTCAAATCTAATAACCTTGAGCTTATGGTCTTAACGTGTTTCTCTCCCTCCTTTTTTTGACGCTTCCGCCTTCATATAATCAACAAATATCTGGGCCAGGATAGTTCGTCAACATAAACTATTTTAAGAAGTGATAGCAACATCATCGTCCTTTGAGACTTTGTTATATTGGACAGATCAATAACACAAAAAAATTTTCTAGGACAAGACAAAAAACACATTATCACTCATAAAATCATATAACTTGGCATCATTCATCAACTTACATTACTGTGTGTCAATTACCTGTTCACATACATAGAAATTATAACATATACATATATATATGTATATATAAATAATCAGAAAATAATTAGACAGTAGACAATGAAAGAAAGTTATTCCATCTGCTTTAATGCACATTTGTAAAACATATGTATTCATTGACATTGACTAACTTATGCTTGAAGTCCATGACATTGATAGATAAACAGGTGTCAATACAAAATCCTTTTTAGCATTATTATTCAATTATATATATGTATATCAATTGCTTTACAGTCAACTTATTTTGACAAAATTCATTTAGTAAGAATAAAATAAGATAGATATCTAGTTTGATATGTATGTTAAGTTTTTTCTAGGACATTGATATTAGACAGATGATTATACGTGTGTCGCCTTGCTGAATGCATGCCTACGCACTAATTTTTCCTTCCGTTTCCTCACCCTCATTCATAGAGGACAAACAAATGAAACAACACAAAAACCAAGAAAAAGGAAAGAAGATGTAGCAAAAGAGAAAATAAGAACGTTAGGCACCCCACAAATGCGTCTATCGAGAAGACAAACAAAAAAAAATGGTAATTTGTCAATCAATATCCCAGAGATATTGATCTATTCTATCGGCGTAAAATAAGAGAAAGATAAAAGCTAATGAATCTCAATTCTAGCTAAACCCCGCCTGTTTGCAACACACACACACACATATACATATATAAAAATAATACTTTTGCTAAGAGCAATGTTTCACTTAATTCTAACTCTTCAATAGACCTTATTCATTTTCTATTTTCCTCATTTCCCTGTCTCTCTCTCTTTCTCGCTCTTGCTCTTTCCCCCTCCCTCTCTTTCTCCCTTTTCGTGTTCCTATAGATGATCGATGTCGATTGTGTGCTAGCATTTTTTGCTCAATTCAGGATCATATTTGATCGAAAATAAATTAAACATGAGCTTCTAGCTTTGCATCGGTTGTTGTCGGTAGGAGGTATAGACAGGCTAGAAGCAATTATAATATTTCTCTTTCTCTCTTTCCTCTGTTGTTCTCGTCTCCGATCGTTCAATCTACTGTCGTTCTTTTAAGTAAACGGATCGATCTCCTGTGGCCAACATTCATCACATTGGTAGTAACAAGCAAACTATTGCTTCTCAATGTTTTTTCCACATATAATTGAACATGTTCATATATAAAATGATAATTCTTTCATCAACAACAAGTATTATGACAATGTCGACTAATGCTACTTTATTATCTTTACCAACAACTGAACATATATATTTATCATCATATTATACAAGTATGATAAAACGTCTTTTAATTGTATTTGGCTCAATATTTTTTCTTTGGTTAATTATGGGACTCGTATTTGCGTCAATTCAAACATTTCGTCATATAAAAAAGAAGACTAATAATAAATTTTTTCGTTATAATCGATCGTTACCACCATCATCATTAATAACACCCACAAGACCACCATATAGAAGAGATAATAATTCTGATAATGATGAAGATGATGATGATGATGATCAAGCAAGTGTTTTTACTTCTGTATCATATCTATCGGAACGATCAAGAAATATACATGATTCTGCACAGTTTGCTTCACCATGTCGACGTATACCTGAAGAAGAATTTGAACTAACATTACCAATGACAGCTGCTGGTATTTCTAATATGGCTTTTAGTCGATCAACTTTAGCATCATCAACTAGTGGGGGAGCATCTCTTCTTTATTATCCAGCTTGTCGTAATTTTGCTTATTCCCAATCGACTCTTGCATCATCTACTGCTGATTTAAATACTCCCACGCCATCCATAATTGTTCCTACCAATGAACCATCAACATATAAAGCTCGATCGTCTCGTTTAGCTAATTTAAAACGACATTCATCTCAATCATCATCAACAACAACATTTAGTCAGATTACTAATGCTACCTATTTATCGTCTAGTAGTACATCGACATCATCAAGTATTCCAATAGCATCATTAAAACGTGCACCATTGCCTACGGTAATGATTACTGATTGTGATCGTCTGCAAACCGATATTATTGAACTTGATGATTTTGAACCGGAAAAAGATTGGCGCCGTGCACAACCTGAATTAAGATTACTACTCAATGATAAAATGCCACAGGCCGTTAGGTGATATATACATATATATATATATATTAAAACTTATTTGAATACATATTTGTTGTTTATTATTATTATTATTATTATTATTTATTTGTCTTTATACATTAAAAGATAAAGTTATAACAACGCACAAATGAATAGATAATTAAATAAAAAATAGTATTAAAATATCGTTTAATAGATGTCAAAAATGATGATTCCAATTGCTTTTGATCAATTTCATCACTTATATCACGAAGACGTTGTGCAATTTGTCGAATAATTAATTTTCTTTCTTCCATTTATCGTAGTTCAATTGAATAGATGACACATAGAATAACGTTTGATTTATATTACAGAAAAAAAAAACGAAGAAGAAGAAGAAGTCAAACGAACTCAAAGAGAGAGAGAGAGAGAGATTATGCTAAGTTCTATAAAGGTGATAAATACACATATATATTCACCGGAAGTCTATGATCATATTGTTGAATATTGATATGAACGCAAGAATAACACATTACATTATTCGTATAGTACAAGACAAAAAGTGAACAAATAGATTAAACATCACACACGTGTAAGGCACGTTCCGTATTAAAGCCAAGATCAAAGATAAAGTTGATCATCGAAATAATCAGATGCAGAAATAATAGATCACTGTGAAAAAAAATTTCGAAAATAAATCGATATTGATGGAGTATGAGAATATACTTGATTGAACAATCAGTTACACTTGATTTAATAAATAAAATTATTTTTTTTATATACTGAAAAAAAGATGAACAAACAAATCAATAATCTTGTATAGTTTAAAAATATGAAAATACAATATTTTCCATACCGGATTATTAAATCCATACTTTGGATTAACTTTAATATGGTGGAATAGACACAGAAATGCTTTCTCATATCCATTTCTCGTAAACAATATTAAATCTATGAACGAGCATTTTTCATCTATGTTGTTTTTCAATAGACTCTCACATTTGTTTGCTTTAAATAGTCGGCAAAACTAACATAACAATTAATTACAGAGAATAAATACTAGATTCTATAATCATTAAACATGCGATTGATATTATTCATATGAACCTCGATGCGATAACCAATAACAACTTGTAACTATTACCGTACATATTTAATATATTCTGAACTTCATTGATTTCCTATTACTTCTGTATACATGTGTATATATGCTACTGATCGGTTGTCTGGGTAACAACTTTTCATGTTTCAATCAAAAGAGTAAGTGTAAAAAAAAAGAAGAAAAAAAAAAAGAAACCTATGTTGTATATCTACTTCTTTTAAATACATCTATGTCTATGACAAAGTTATAGACGTAGAGAGAAGAGAGAAGAAACGAGAGTAAAGAAAAGCGAAAGAAACGCTATAACGTTTGTTCATCATTAAAAATCACTTCTATTCTTTTTTTTTTTCGTTACCACTCTTTGTCGCAACACAATAAATATACGGACATAAACGTGTGCGCTTCCACACATTTAACTGACGAATAGTCAACAGCTTGTTTTAATATGTAGGATTCTCAATTTACAATTTATTTTCACACCTTATAAAGTGAGAGGTTTTTTATGTTAAATTCCACACTTAACAAAAATATATCCGTAAGAAATCAAAATTAATTTTGAATTTCGTCGAAGAATAAAAAATTATGAAACCTTTTTTTTCTTCTTTCTTATTGATTTTCTACCAGTAAATTAATTTCCATTTTTTTTTATGTTTTTAGATTTATAGTATTTCATTTAAATGGATACTTATTATCCTCCAACACGTAGTGATTTTCGTTGTGCTTTATGTCAACAAAAAAATGCCTTTCATTGTGAACATGATACACCTTATCGTGATAGATATTTAGGCGCAAATGTTCCAAATACATCAGAAAGTTATGACAGTCAAAATCGAAAACCAAGAAATTCAAGTAGATCACAGAATAATAATGAAAATGATAAAAAACGACGAACAAATTCACTTAATAATGTTCAACATCAACAAAACCAAAGATATGAGACAAAAAATAATACAAATGTGAATACGAATACAAATACGACTGTGACTACGACTACGAATACGAACAGTACTCAGCAAATAACAGTTGAACAAAAGAAAAAATCGAAATCGTGTGTTATTTTATAGCTTGTTTCTTAATATTTATTTCATGTACTAAGTTGTTTATATACAGTTCTATTTCAGAAAAAAAGAACTTTTTATTTTTTTTTTTATTAAAACATTTCTATTAAGAACATGATAGTTATTCAATTAATTGAGAAGACCGATATATTGACATAGATTAACTGTTCTATAGTTTCAAGACAACTTGTGATGACTTAGAACGATACTAATTTAAAATTCAAATCAGATGAAAACAAAAAATGATCAAATGATTTATTACGAAAGAAAATGTTTTTGTCTGAGAATTGAAACATATATTCAATTAGCTTGATGTTTAGTTTCTTCTAAGAAGTAAACTTGGATCCATTGACATATCACATTTATTGTCTTCATTTAAATGCATTCAGAATGTCTGGTGAGTCTTAATGATGATTCATAGTGAGTACATAAATTATTTTTAATGAGAACTGACTACATTAATTATCATGATCTAAAGAGAAACTTCCACTTGTACATATATGGAATTAAATTAGTTTCATCACTGTCATCCGTTCTACAATCTGTACTACGTGAGTGCGTGTATTGGATAGCTTTCACACAACGATGTTCATAGGTATCGGCTCTCTTTCAAATTCAATTTGCGAGGATCTTTCGCGGATAGTTCTGTAAGAACTAAATATTATAGCTTTACTTATACATAACAGTAGTTAAAAAAAGAATCACGACAATTGAACACATGCGATGAGATACTTTACAACATATACAAAAAGAGTCACTCATTTTTACATATGATAATCATTGATATGACACGCGAGAAACCTATTGTACTGATCACAGACATGACATATGCTTTTTTTCTAAGAAAATCTAAAGGAAAAGTATGACAATATGCTTCATTATTTGACTTAAAGAACAACAAACTAAACAAACAAAATTTACCTTGGCTTCTAAAGCAATTATAGGACATAGTGTAATTCGATCAACTTCCAATGAATTTTCCAATAGCAAATAAAGTCTTAATTCTAGATGCAAACAACCGTTTCAGAATTTACTTATATATGTCTATACAAGATGTGTAAAACTCTCAACATCTAATTAATATGATGACATGATATTTATTTACAAACATTATCTTTCTATTAATATTGGTACTATACATATTTTGTTGACGCCTGTCAAAAATAATATATCAAACGATTATTCTGAAAAAAAGAAAGTATACATCGTTTAGATAATTAGATAGAATAAAATACAAGCTTTTTGTATAGCATCTTATGAATACAAACAAGAAACTTCCGTTGTTTAATCAATTAATCGTACTACATTGGTCAAAGAACATGAAATATAATTTTTTTTCCGCTTGTTTTCTTGGTAAATTAAGAAAAACAGCTTTTATATAGATTATTTGATCAAATGCTGAATGATCTTCTTATTGGATGTTTAGCGCTTCTTGCTAGTCATAACACAAGATAAACCATTGAGAAGACATAACGCTGCAAGGAAAGAATTAGTGTATCAATTATCGCCTATTTCTATTGTTCGGAATACTAAAAGATCAGTGAAGTGTAAAATTGTATTAGAAGACTAAAACTCATGAAGGCAAACATAGGGAATAAGCTATTTTTTAGTAAATCATTACGCGTACATTCTCATCTCAGTTTCTATTATAAGTTCATACTACTAATGTATATCATACACTATACATATGATAGAAAGACGTCGTAAACTAATATTGTCAATGAAAATAGAACTATTGGTTAACGAATGTTGTTTTCTTAACAAACTCGAATTTAATCAATGAATAAATTATTGAATCTCTCATTAAGTAGGGTACAAGCAATTTACAAAAAGAAAAAGTAAATCTTGCCGATATCAAATTACTACATGTCAGTCACAGCCATTTAAACAATCATCTTTCATTGTGCTCATTGAGACGAAAATAATAAGAATATATGTACACATAGTCTTAAGTACAACTTATTATGTGTGATCACTGTAGTTTATATTCACTCATTATTAGAATAAAAAATAGTTCGAAAATAATTTGTTTTTCTTTAGATTTTATAAATCGATATATACATAATGGTTTATAAAAAATTGAGTTAAATGTGTCGTAGATATCTTTCATATGATAAATTACTCGTTTTATTTTAGTCGATGAGACGTAGTTATGTTAAAATTTTCATACATCATCGTTCATCATTTTAGTAAAATATGTATTTTTTCTTTTTCTTTTCACCATTATCTACATAATTTAAACAGATTTGAATGACAAAAAAGAAAAGCTGGTTAATGATATGTACATCTGGATGTGTTCTATTTAGTGTTATTTATCGAATAGGATGATGATGATAATAGGCAACAAGTACGAATGTTTAGATGGATAAAACAATGATGGACAATTGTTTAGTCGTTCTAACACCGTTCAAAAGTAGACGATAGAAAAGAAGAAAGGGAGATGGTCATTCAGCGCTTTATTTCTTTCTCCTTCTCATCAAAATAATTAACTATGGCCGTAGACGACGACGACGACCTATTTTTATGCACATAAGTATATCGTGCGTTCTCGCTTCTCTTTGTCTTGCATTATTGGATATTGTTGAACAGCGAAAAGAAGGAGAATAACTATAAGAAAAGAGAAAAGAAGAACAAGAAGAAGAGACAAACACATATGCATATGTATGAAACTGAGTGAGTGAACGTATTTATTCGATCATTGCACATATAAGAGAAAAAGATTCTCTTTTTTTCCTCTTTCTCTTCGCTCTCTCATTTGTCCAAGAATAAGTAAGATGGAGAAGTTCAGAAGCCCCCATTGACTTTTCACCTTGATTCTAAAATTCATAATGGTACTAAGATAGATATTGAAAGTAATTTACGTAAAGGTCTCTCACCATTGGCTTTCATTTTCCGCATACTCGACTCACCGGGGTTTCCTTTACTGGACATTACTCAGCTTTCTTCATTTCGTAAGTATCCCGGTGAGTATACCTTATATTGGTCGATTCCGGTTCGATTACAAAGAAGTTTGTCGTTCGCTGTTCATAGAATCAAATGTACTACTATTGTACAAAAGAAAAGACCTATTGGACAATTAGCAGAATACAACAGAATAATTCATTTCTTTTTTATTCTTTATTGAAGTCACATTCATCTTATAGACTCATTTATTTTTTATATTATACTATAGACAGACAATGTGTATTTGGTATATTCTATTGTTCATTATTCCATTTGTACATTCAGTTCATTTTAATTCAAATGAAAATAATAACGATAAGAATTCAGTATTTGTTATTTATCCACGATTATATTTGTGTAATAATGGTTCATTCTCATTTGAATTTCGTACAAAAGCAAGAAATGGTTTAATTTTTTATACAAATGATAATTATTATTCCGATTCAATTATTGTTTCAATATATAATGAAAAATTATTAGTTGAACAAAAATTTGGAAAAAGTAAAACTTATCAACAATTTGATCATTCAATTAATGATGATAAATGGTATAAAATTGCTTTTAAACGACGTTCATCATTACTTACGGAAATTGTTCTTTATTCTGTTGCATTACGAAATGTTGAAAATCGTATAATAAAATCTAAAAGTTTAAATTATTTACCATTTACTTCATTAAATACAAGTTCAATGGTTTATATTGGTGGTTTACCATTAAATTTATATAAAAAACAACGACATACAAGTGAATTTTTATTTCAATCATTTCAAGGTTTTGTACGTAATCTTCGTTATGGTTTATGTGGATGTCCAGAACGTATACAATATCCACTTTTTTCATCATTATCAACTAATTTTCAATCTGAAGTATGTGAACAACAAATGTCATTATGTTCAAGTTCATCATGTGAATGTTTAAATGTTGATGAAGAACCACGTTATCAATGTGATTGTAGCAATAAAACATGTAGTATCATGACTATAATGAGTAAGTCATTATGTTGTAAAAGAAAACATATTAACAACGTCTATCTAATCTCATACTGTGAACAGTAACCTTAAAGGCATAGGCTGTCATCGTTCTTATCTATTTTTGCTTATATTGATGAACATTATACATGTTAGTAGTAAGAGTCGAGTCAGCCACTAATCTTTTCAGCATCTTCTATACGCTTTGCGCAATCTATATTGCTGCATGTTTCTACTTGTATATGTATATGTATATATATATATACATAGACAACACTAGACAGAACAAAGCATGCGATAGACCGTATGGAGGCTGCTATGGGCATCTTCTAATGAAACACTGCTTGTTCAGTCAGTCAGTCAGTCAGTCAGTTGCATATGTTTACGTTATGTCTACTCGATTAAACGTCGAACATATACATACACACGTTGATCATTTTCCTAACTTTTTGCTGTTATTGTTGTTGTCTACTTCTATAGATTCAATGAAAAAAAACCCGCATTTCATCCTATTTAGTAATGCCTGATGTAATTTATGATCGATAATCATGATTATCATGGTTAGTAGTACCATTCTTTGATCTAAGGCGTTAATTGTTTTGATACGCTATTCTCATACATGTCACTTTAAGAACAATCGAACTTGCTCGCGTGTACGCATGCATCAAGAATAAGAAAAGATAATGAGAATGATCGCCTGCCAATGTGTGATGAAGCATATATATGTACACACACACACACCTATGTTGTCAATTTTATTCTTTCAGTGTATACTCTATGATTAGAGTGTCCACATTTTCTATGCAAACGTTCGATCGACTAAGATTTGATCGAGACGAAAAAAAAATAATGAACACTTTGGATATATATGTATGTGTTTGTATATGTGTGTGAACATTGAACAGATTGACTCTCGAGTGTGTCGTCTTCCTTCACTCAACCAACCTGCGGTAGAGCAACAAAGTTAAACTGTTTTCACTCTCTTCACATCTAAGATCGAAAGATGAAGGTGAAGAGAGAATAGTGCACTCTTTTTTTTGTGTATAAAACGATCAAGTAAATAGTTTGATGGGTCACGGTCCGGTCTTTGTCTTTATGTGATGTATATAGACAAGGAAGCTTTAAAATGATTGAAAGAAAACTTAAAATGAATGCACATAAGTGTATACGTGTCCTTCTCGATCAATTAATCATACATATATATATGTATCTAACTGATAATAACCAATGTAAAATGTCTAAGATTGTTATCAAACAACATTTATTTTATTCATGTTTCCTATCTATCTCAAATAGTAAAAGAATAATTCTATATTGCAAAAAAAAATTTTTGATTATAATTTTAACCTCGGACTAATTCGGAAGTACTTATATGAATGAAGTCTTCTTCGGAGCGGAAACTAAATATATATATATATATAAATTGACATACTTCGAATGTAGACGATGGTCACTCGACACTGTAATTAGATCCTTATTGTCAATTTTTTCAGTGTTGATAGATTTCATGTAATGAAATTAGAGGAGAAGAAAAAAAATTCTATTCTAATTCATTTAAGATTAATAAAAACTTCTAATGTCAATAAGAGAAATGAACTTGAGGGTGAATATTCAATTATTGAGGAAATGCCCATCGATTTGACAAATCAAATTTATTATGTTTGAAAATAATAATAAATCAAAACTTTCTCTATTTAGATAAGAATCTTATACAATATGAAATTGATTTTACATCGGTTGAATATATATCAAAAAGTGATGCATCATCATTTACATATGGTACTCATCCGTATATTTTTAATGTTATTAAAAGAGGTTTTTAATCGAAAAATTTAATAAAACAAAAAAAAAAGAATAAAATTTCTTAATTTAGATTTGAATCAATATGGTCTTGTTACTTTTTCACCTATTGATATTCAACAAGGTAACTGTATGTGGGATTTAAATAAATGTTCTATAGGTAAATCATTTTTTTTTGATAATATTATTTTCGATGAACTTTTTGTTTTCTTCATAGATTTATCTTTGACATTTATTTTTTCAATTGACCGTGTTAATAAATCATCAACTATATTTACACAATATTTCAAACATGCTGCTTCAATTCATATTAATTTAAATGTTTTAAATGCGACATACTCAACTTTAACTTTTGACCTTTGGTTACCATTTCATCGTGGTCTTTTACGTACACAAATTACTGAATTCCCCTATGAAACATCATTATATATTAATCTTGTCTATCGCTCACCATCATCACTATCCGTTTTTCTTTTCGGTCAACTTATGGATTATACAATAAATCCAACTTATGATCAATCAAATAAACCATCATCATTATTCTTATCATTCAATACATTTATACCATTTCGTTCAATACTATGGTCATATGAACAACCATCATCTGGTAAGTTTCTCATATATGTAGAGAATTTATTTGGGTAGAGGATTTTATTATTTATACCTATTAGAATGTTGTGCATTAACGCACAAGAATGAGCGTTTAAAACGAGATATAGAAAATCTCGATATTTGTCAATGTAAGTTTAAAGAAAATACTGTAGTTGAACTAATATCTAATATAACTTCTCTCTCTCTATCTATGTATGTATATTAGTTGCCTTGTAGAAACAAAAATAAATAAATAAATATAAGACACAGATGTTTGAATTGTATGAACATAGTGATTTGTTTCATATATATTACATACATGTCGATTGATAGAGATAAATTATGATCGATCTTCTATAATAATAAAATAAAAATAAGATTTTAATTGTTACTATTTGCTTGACAGTCGTATATGTTGCGTGTTTAGAACAATAAATCTCAATTTATAAAAAAACGATGAAAAATGATAGAACATGCAATGATTGAAGAGAGAATAAGACAGTTTAGAGAATCTCTTTGTATTCTTACGTCATTTATATATATATGTCGTAATTTGTTAGACAGAAAATCATGCAAATCTATGTTCAAGGAGAAATTTTGTTACTATCCTTTGAGATTTGTCAGTCTTATTTTATGACATTCAACGGTTATTCACTATATATCATCAAAGAGATTGGCATGTATTTTCTTAACTATAAAGGATTACAAAGGAATGCAGAAAGTGGAAGAAAAAAACGAATGTGTTTAATGAGACATAAATTATACGATTGAGAAAGACAGAGGCACTCGTTTGTTATCAGTAAGAATTATAAAAATATTTATTTGATCAGATGCAGTTAGTAGATCTTTTTTCTCTCTTCTTCATCAATTATCATTCTTTATTTTGACATGACAATTGACTCATCTTCCTCTTTAGAGTTTTTTTTTTGCTCGTCCCCATTTTTTATTCTCATGAGTATTCTTACATAACACATCCGTTGTACATGATTTGATGTGTCGTCTCTTTATGACACAAGGAAAACCGAGAATATATTCGTAACTTGATGCATCATGTTCATCTTTTTTTTTGACAAAAGAAAATTGGTTTTGTTCGATTTGAAATATAAACTTAAGCTTACAAGATGAATTAATTTTCACATAAAATAATATTTATCTCAATCACGCGACATATGTATCTATAGTTTTACCGATCTGATACATATAGAATTTAATTGTGCACAGGTGCACGCGACATCAACAAAGGTTAGAATGAATATGAGAGTAAGAGATTAAGGTCAGTGCAAACAAAGGTGTGGATACTAGTTGTACAATTTAACTAACAACTAGTACTAGATTGGAACCGTTTTTCTCCTTCATTCTCTTTTCCTTTCTTCCTTTTTCGTACTTTGTCCGGACGAACACAACTCAATCATGAAGAAATCATGCATCAGCCGGCGACAACTAATTTCACTCTCAATGCTCACGCTCCTTTACTCGTACATACATACATACATATATATATACACACACATACATATACTCAGTGTGTCGCCGAGACATGAAGAAGACGGACACGAACCGATTTCATGCTTCTGACCATCATCACTGCTTTTACTACGATTGTCCTTTCTCTCTATCGACAACGTCGATACAATTTTATTTTTCGCTTTGACTCAGAAGAAGAATATTTTTCTCTCCTCCTTTCTCGCATTCATTTCTTTACTCGTCACTCACAGTTCATTCTCTTCTTCCATCCTCATCATCCACTCTCATCTACCAACTACATATACACACCGAACAACATAGAAAAGATGTTGAACTGTGTGTATAACTTACATTAGCCAGTATGAAAGAGCGAGAAATCTTTCTATTCTCTCAATTTCTCTCTATGTCTTTCTTTTTTACATTTTGATGATGGCCATCGACTAGCCTACACAACGATAATGAGAGAACGAGAGAGACACAGACAGAGAGATAAAATATATATATATTTTTCTTTTCTCTCGACATAGATGCGCTCCCACACATCACTCATGTGCGCTATGTTAAGTTCTTTGAATGATCAATATATACTAATCACGAATCTCATCATTACATTTTTCTAATCAAAATACATATGTCGCTTACAAAACAATTTCCATTTATTATTATTATTCTATTTTCCTTACATATACAAATATGTCAACAACAATATTTAAAATTGTTGAATGATGACAATATAAATAATACATCATCGTCATCATCATCATCATTATTAGTCAATGAGACTTCTACTACTGGTAAGCTCTTGAACTCAATAAATACAAAAGTTGAGACGTTGATGCATTTTCATCTTCACACATTTTTAAACAAGAGTTCAACTGGAATAATAAATGTTCAGTTTTATTCTTTTGCTCTTATCGCTACTAGTTGAAATTAGTCAGACGGGAGAGTACTCTCGTCATCCTTTATTCATACTTATAGGTTATTCATAAATACATACATATTTCTATATATGTCTAGGTGGTGCTCTTACCGAAGCATCATTAAACAGCAATCGTTTAATACCAAAAACGGTTAGTGAATATCCATTACCATTTAATGTTCGAACAAAATATATAACTGATGAAGAAGATTATACTTTATCCGAATCAATATCATTTTCTGTCCTATCAAAACAACAAACATCTCAAGCAACAACAATTCTAGCTGGATTTGCTTATGATAATATTTATTATGTATTTGATATTGAAGTTTGTTGAATTCAAAAACAAAAAATTGTTTAAAAAAATTTGACATTTTTTATTTATTAGGATGGTAAACCAAAAATCATTTTTTCACAAGATGATCTACCTGATATTACATTAACCACAAAAGATAATAATCAAATATCGATTAATGATGGCAAATGGCATAAATTAAATATTGAACGATCAGATAGAAAGGTGATTTTGTCCTCTCCTTCTTCTTCACTATATATAAATTTGTTCTTTGCATGTCTAGTTAAAATTTCAACTTGATAATATCGATCAAACTGATGTGCAATTACCTGATGGATGGCAAACAAAAGCAAATATATTTATTGGTGCAGAATTAACACCTGTACCTAATGGAGATTTTAATGGAAAACTTGGTGATGTAAGTTCTAATTAAAAATTAATCAGAAGAAAAAAACAATTTCATATTAGGATAATTCTTTTTCATTAAATATTAAAGAAAAAATACCAAACTATTAAGATTCGTATTTGACTATTTCTTTTCTCTAACTAGTGATAATGTTAAATGTAGGAGGCCAGACAGTCCATTCAAAATTCTATCAATCATACCGTTTAAAAATTTCAATTTCACCTGTTTAAAAATAATGAAATATTATGAGATGTCAATCGCGAACAATTATTACATATTGAACATTTTATATCACAACAAATGACTTTCAATATTGTATCATATAGGATTAGTAGACCATTAATAACATTTATCTATTCGTAACATAGAAACTCTATATACATATCCAGCGAGACTTATAGTTCTAAAGAAATAATTCTCATCTCTTTCATGTATCGTTATCGTATAAATCCTTCTGTTTGATGATTAAATATACAACATATTGCTGTAGGCTGCTAAAAATATTACTCATAAACAGTTATCAATCTATATATAGAACTAGATTTCTTATCATAAAAGTTCTTTCTTTCGTTAAATCAATCGAAACTCTATACTTGTTACATAATGATTATAATTAATATAGAACGTAAAAGCGGCTTTTGTTAACAAAAAAAAAAGAAAAATCATAATTGATTCTATAGAATACATCTATATATTGATTGATAAGAAAGATTCGGCAACTGTTTAAAAGCGTTTGATTTCATCGTTTGATTATAAAGAAGTTTAAAAGCATTCGTGCTTATAGTTCTTCCTTCCTTAGATATGAACAAGTGTATATAAAAAAAAACAACACTTTTTATGATTCTTTTAAAATGTTGATATATAAAAATAAAGTGTTGAAGAGTAAATACTTCATTTTTAAATGTTTTGATATGTTTTAGTTCAGTCTAGTTACCTTCTTAAATTTGTATATATATGCCTGAAGTTAAATTATTTAACGGTCAAAGCTTTTATGAGAGATAGAGGAATAATATTTCGAACAAGAATAAAAAAAAGAATTTTTAATCTAGATTGCGGTAACTAATTCTGAACGATCATTAAATCTTCGTGAAGAAGATACAACAGATGAAAATGATGAAAATTTTAAAGAGTCTTCCACACCCCTTATATCATCACTGTCTTCGTCAAATGATAATATTTTTGTTGTTGTTGATATGAAATCATCGCAAGTCAAACAAACAATTGGTTTTCTTCCAACAGATAATAATGAAATAACTATTCCATCACCATCTAATGTAATATTTAATACATTAACATTTTCATTTCGTACACGTTCCAATGTTAGTACACTTATACAATTTGGTCAAATAAGTTTAAATATTGATGTTGATGGATATTTAGCATTAGTTATACGTGATAAACAAGCTCAACGTATTTTATCTAATGATGAACAAAAACCAATCAATGATGGAGCTTTATATACAGTTCATTTACAACGTATAGATAAAAATTTAGAAGCATGGATAACTAAAAAAAATAATTTTAAAACTCCAAAGAAAATTTCCATTGAACTTGCATCATCAAAATTAATTATTGAAAATTTTATATTTAGTCCACGTAGTCAATTTATTGGTTGTCTAGAAAATGTAACATACAATGATCAATTAATAACATTTAAACATTTACCATTAAGCAGACAACAATGTCCGTCAAGTAGTATTGTTTTAAAATCAAGTGAAATTTTATCAATCAATAACATTTACATTGATCAAGTTATTTCATTTAAAGAATATGATCGTCCATTGATCATTACACTTGATAATACAGAAGATTTTCGTATATTTTCATTTTTATTCTATACTCACGATTCCAATAGTATTATTTGTTCATTAGCCGATGAAACTTATGAAAATTTTCTCACATTAAGTATTTATAATGAACGTTTAGTTTTAACTTTTGATGATAAACAAAGAAAACGAATGAAAATTATGTTAAATAATTCTATTATGATTAATGATGGACGTGAACATGAATTAGTTATAAAATTAATTAATAAAGATGATCTTATATTAGAAATTGACCGAAATATTATTATGAAAAAAATTAATAAAAATATTCGTATTCATACAATTTATATTGGACAATTAGATAGTTTTCTTAAAGAAAAACATATGGATTTAGATGGTGATAATTTTGTTGGGTGTATAAAAAATGTCATGTTAAACGAAAAAGCAATAATTAAACTAGATCATATCCATCATGCAGGACGACTGACTAATATATGTCAATTGACAAAACGCGGCCGTAAGTTAAAACAAAACAAAAGAAAATTAAACATAGATTTCGGTTTTTTTTATCAGTCTCGACATAAATTTATTCATGTCCATCTATTTGATATTATCTTTTTAAACATAATAGATGTACTCATTTTTAATGATACATTGTTCATATTTTATATGTATAAGATACTAATAATTATGATTCATCGTTTATTTTGTCAATCATAATAATTGACAATTTAAAATAGTAAATCGAGTGTTTACAAAGCACTTTTCTATTAGAAATATTTCCCTTAAGCACAATTATTCTTGACAAGTTCACTGATTTTTTACATAAAAAAAATTTTTCTTTTATCTTTCATTAACAGCATATTCTCAAATTAAGAATTATGATTGAAGTATATTTAAAAGTTTAGTGAACACAATTTTTTTAGATTTAAAGATATACATCTGTTACTAAAATATTGAACTGAATAGATTCTATCATTAATGAATTTGAATACTATTAATCGAAGGACAAAGGTTTTTTTTATTTTACATTACAAAAGAAACAACTGTTGCTCTCATATTTCATTAAAGTTTACAATTGACTCGTTTGTCAAGAAATTCTATACGAAAATAAATAGAGATTATATTATTAAACAAATAAAAATTAAGCTTTGCTAATTTAAACTATTTCTATCACAGAAGCGTTTAACTAAAATAATACCTCGAAAAGTTGAATATAATGAAGTATTGTATTAGGGCTTAAATATATATTTTTGAATTGAAATGACATTTAAAATAAAATAGCACTTACACAAAAATCAATTTAAATGTATATTCTATCATTTAGGTAAACATGTTGTATCATATGTATCACCTGATGTTAGTTTTTCATTACGTGATCGTCGTGATATAATTGAACTTCAAGTACAACCAAATGATGAATTTCGTTATTGTCAAATGCCAATAAAAACTTTATCTCCAAATGGTATTATAACATCAATGTATTCAAATGATGATCAACGTGGTTTAGTTCTTGGTTTACATGATGGGAAATTACAATTAAAATATTATTCACCATTTAATAAAACATCACAAATTATTTTTAATGATAATCAAACAATAAATGATGGTAAACAACATCGTATTTTAGTTACAAGACAAATACCTGAAACAACATCACATGATGATATGTATGTACAAATTGATAAACGTTCAACACAAGTACCAATACCGGAACGTTCACCAATGTTTTTTGATGTTGTTACTATTGGTGGTCCTTATCGTTTAATGACAGATACAACAAATAATCCATTTACGGGTTGTTTTGCAAATGTTACATATAATCGTCAACCATTATTACCTGAAGGTGTTCTTAAAGCTGATCGTTATGATTGTTTTTATCAACAAGGAACAATGTGTGATCGACAAATGCCATGTAATAATAATAATATACGACCATTACAATTCTGTGGTCAAACTGATTGTTCAATGGTTTGTGCTCCAACATCAGTAGATATGGGTAATAAAGGTTTAGTACGTTATTCATCACAAATTGTAGCTGGACAACGTGAACAAATTGATTTAACAATATTTACAACATCAGCAAATTCTACTCTATATATGTCACGTGATGGATCTATTCAAGTTTCAATTGTTCTTCAGGTAAATAAAGATAAGAATGTTTTATAGATATATATATATATACTTGAGACGACAACATTTATTTTCTATTTAAAGAATTATTATCCACGTTTCGTTATCCAAAATGGCGGTGCTGTTTATACATACGATTTTCCTGGTCGTGTTCGAGGTGATCAATGGCATACATTACAATGCCAAAAAACATCAAATACAGTGTGTTATTAATCATTACGATAGCTAACATTATTCTTTTCTTGTTTTATCTTAATAGCTTGACTTGACATTTGATTATGAAACTCGACATTACACAAATCTAACCGGATATTTTAGTTTATTTGGAGATAAAAAAATTCATGTATGTGGAACAAATTTCTATGGTTATGTTCAAGATGTAAGTACAATTAAATCGGAAGTTAATTCTTTTTTTTTCTTCTTACTACATTCAAACAAAAACTCATTAGATCGTTCTTGCATCGGATAATCGTCGTGAGAATTTAATACAAAATTGCATTCGTAATCCTTCCTTAGTCGAGTATGATCCAAGTGTTGGTTGGAATAATCATGCATCCATACCCGAACGTAAGTTACATTTATTTTTTTATTATTATTATTGTTTTGTGTGCATGAAAAAACAATGAAGACGGTATGTGTATACATACACGACCGTCAATATCGATCATTCGTGTCTGTATACATTACCTAAGATTAAATCATATTATCTCGAAACGGCTGACGACTCGCATATTTTTTTTTTGTATGCAACTTATGCATACGTTCGCATATTCATTCATACACATATGCAATACATATATCTACAGTCAATTAGCATAAAAAAAAGATGATACGTGCTCTAGACGTGAGACCAGTCGATGGTGAAGAGAAGCCTATACATATATATATATATATATATATATATATATATATACATATATTCTCTTGCATCATCTTATTTTGGATGAGCTTCTATTTATTTTTATTCGATTGGTGATCGCCTATTCTATTTGCGTAGGTGATCTAAGATCATTGCCATATATTGATTAATTTTATAAATATAAAAATGAATGGCATTGATGCAGAAAAAATCAAATTGCAGATGTGGTTCGACAGACATATGACAAATTCTTATTTTTTGTTGACGCAAAAAGTACCAAATCGTTTTTTTTTGCCAGTGCACTTCTCTTTTTTCTCTGCAGCAAGCGTCATTACTAGCATCCGAACTCGAACGGGCGCACACACACACACACATATATACACGATCGTTCTATGTGTAGTTGGTGTACTTTTTTATGTTAATAACAAGCTTTTTTCTGTTTCTCTGCTTTTTCTCTCTTTTCCTCTCTTACTCTTCTTTCTGTTCGTACGTGTGCGCAAACACAGTCAATATATATATGTATGTAGACGAGTAGAAGAAAAAAAAGCCGAAGAACAGAACGACAATGAGGACAGCCACTTGTGAGCTGAGCATTACTAGCATCGAGAGAGAGAGAGCAACAGAATGCAGTCGAGATGACGTTAATACAACATCTTCTTTCATCTTGTTGATGTTGTTGTTCTTACTAATGCAAGATATTACTATATTGGTCCACTCTCACATCTTTTCTTCCTGTGTTATTCATTCATCGTAGATTTTTCTTCGTATATATATATATATTTTTTTCCTCTCTGCCATCGTCATCGTCGCTTTGCGGTTTGGTGTTTGTTTGCAACTTACGCCATTCTTTCTGTCTCTTTTTCCTTCTCGTGTGCCCATTACTATTACATTGTGAAGAAAAAGACGAAGAAGCAGAAGAAGAAGAAGAAGAAGAGAAGAGAAGAAGAAAAAAGACAAGCTCGAACGATATTCACCATCATCAACCTACCCCAACGCGGTTCGTCGCAGCTCCGAACTATTATTGGCAAGAGACTTTTTTTTCTCTTTGTCTTATTTCTATTTGCTACCACCATCACTGTTATTATCATCATTTGACGTTATTTGATTCTTAAGATATAGAAACGTCTGAGTCAACGAAAATTACCTTTTACTCATCGATAATATATTCTATACAAATTTTCAGAGAATATAGAATATAAAAAGAAAATCAGAAAAAAAGAAAAAAAAGAAATTATTCAACGTTCGTCGTTTATTATGATGTGATTCATTCCTCGACATAGTATCACACGTTTGTTTTTTTATCTATTACATTGATTATTATACCAAATGAAATTCTTTATTTCGTTATTATCAATTATCACTATTATCGAGGCAGCACCTCCTCCACCCGCAGTTCCCCAATATGAAGGACAAGCGGTGGGAGCGATGCCATGTTACCTTGGTTGTTGTAAGTTAATACATAATTTTTTTCTCATTTATTCTTTCCTATCAATATGTTCTCCATTTTTATGAACATAAGTTTGACTTCATAATGTGCATACATGTATTTACTCTAGGGACACCATGTGAACGAATCAATTGTATGAATGGTGGTTATTGTATTCAACCCGCAACACCAACAACTTTAGCGTATTGCCATTGTCCCGCAACATACACAGGATATCGTTGCGAGCAATCAGGTAAAAAGAAAATGTTTAATCTTTATGCCATTTGTCATTATGTTAGCACCGATATGTAAAAGACCTTGAGAAATAAATATATCAAGATGTATTGAGAATTGCATGTTTTATTTATCGATTATTCATTTTCTTTATTTCTTCTTTTTTCTTTAGTCTCAACAGATCCTTGTTTAAATTTTCAATGCAACCATGGAACTTGTCAAAAAGATCGTAGTAATCAACCGTATTGTTCATGTTATGAGGGCTATGGTGGCTCGCGATGCGAAACTCAAATTGGTGTGTAACAAAAGAGCACGCACGTTCAGTAGTTTCTTTTTTCCTTTGGCGTTCATTTGCTTTTACTTGGGTAGAGATGACGCAATGATCACCCACAGCCGACTTCCATTAGACAAGTAGAGTGAAGTATAGAAAAAAAGAAAAGACAAGAGAACAAAAAAAAGAAGACAAGAAAATTGAGACATATTTTACCGATGCACGCGTCAACATATAAACGCTCTGGGATAGACATCAATCACTTTCTATGTAAAATTCGCGGTCAATCCGAATCTATCGTCTTTTTTTTTCTCTGTTAGACATATAGGTCGCCGGTCTAGAAGAAAGAATTTCAAAAAAAAAACAACAACCGGATGAATAAATGATAGAATAGGCCGGTAACAGCATCATTCATTATGATGGAATGCAAACAATGGCAGACAAATACTTGGTGTCTGAACTGTTAAGAAGTTATAATTGCCTATTGTAGAATATATAAGACAAACGCGTATGCATAGATGAGTGGATCAAGAAAATGAGTATGATCAACACCAAAACAGAATATATATCTATGTATATATATCTATATATATATATATATATATATATGTATTGTGCAAGTATTGCATAATTTCTATCGTTCAGGATGTTGATGATGCCTTTTCCATTGAGTTGTTATTATTATGTGAAAGGAAAATTGTTTATCTCAGCGCAGCAATCATCACTTCTCTTCTTTCTTCTTGATACATTTAGTATTCTATTCTAAGTGATAAATTGTCGTTGTCTTTTACCATTATTATGCATCATATTGTGAACATAGATACTCGTGAAAAGAGGTCACATACATTATGCAAATTTTTTTTGATTGAACATGAACAGATGGATACCGAGAGGTGAAAAGAGTCCTCACGCACACATGCTTATGTGGTCAAATGTGTGCGTGTGTGCTTGCATTTCTTTCTCTTTCAAATTGAACTGGTCACCGCCCTTCAATTTGCATAATGGAAGAGATGCGTGATCATTGATATATAAATATAAATGTACATTAAAACAAAATAGAAATGTCAATTTCTAAAAAAAAGACAAAAAAGAAAACTGTGATTTGCCTTGAAGATCGTATAATATAACGGCTAGATCTTTTTTTTTTAATTATCTTTAATAGAAATTCTTAGATATAGAAAAACAATCTGATGATTAAATTTGACACTTGTTTACTTTGTCTAGATCCATGTGCACGAGTTAATTGTAACCATGGACGATGCGAAATCGATCGTGGTTCAGCTGTTTGTCGATGTTATCAAGGTTATAGTGGTCATGATTGTTTAACACCTTTAGGTAAGCAAAAGTTTTTCTAATAGTTTGGATGACTTTATCATTTTTATATCCATTTAATCCTATTTTTATTATGAATATGCCCTAGTTTTAAAAACAAAATCTAAAGATTAGATTTAGTTATAATCTCTATCTATATATATATATATATATATTAATTTTGTTTTCTTCTTCTTTCTCGAACTATAAAGACGCGTGTGCTCGAGCGTCATGCAACTATGGTACTTGTATCAATGAAGGCACATCTTATAGATGTGAATGTCATCGAGGTTATGAAGGAGCAGCATGTGATCGACAAGTAGATCCATGCTCAACTTTTGTTTGTTACAATGGAGGAGTATGTGTTGCCCAACAGGATTATCAACCTGTGTGTCAATGTGCACAAGGTTATCGAGGACCAAATTGTTATGAATCCGATGGTATGTGTGAACATGATCAGGCACGCGTTTTTTGTGTTTGTGTTATGTTGTGTCATGTTCTCAGACAAAATAAGAGAAATGAATTTATTGAAAAACAAAAAAAAAAGAAAGAACAACTGCATGATATCTTAAAACTATTTCTTTTTCTTTTTCTTTTGTCTTTGAATTACCTTGATCATTTATACAGACATCTGTGAAAATGTCAATTGCAATTATGGACGATGTCTTATTAATCAGCATGATGGTACACCCTACTGTGACTGTATGCCTGGTTATACAGGTGCCACGTGTTTGAACGAAGGAAATACTGATGATAGTAGTGAGTAGACAGTTGATGCGCTCATCCCACCCAGTAAAATATATAAACGTATCTCCTTGCAAAGCTTTATTAAGGCAATAGGAAATCAGCTTCTTCATATCATTTTTACTGCATATTTCATGCATTACTACTTACATTTATAAAGTATAATCACAGTAATCTATTTAAATGCGATGTTTCTTTTATAATTTAATGGAATGAAATGTTACGTTTTTTTTACGCATGGTGTTTTTTGCTTATGCTTCTATAGCTAAATTTAATTGATAATCGTTTTATTTGCAAAACTTAATATTAACTGTCTTTTTCTTTTTCTTCTTTCCTCTAGCTGATCCATGCTTACGTTACGATTGTGGAGGTGGTACTTGTACGAATGATCGTGGTGTTCCTCGATGTATATGTCCAACAGGACGAGTAGGAAGTCAATGTCAAGGTTACTTATTTCATTTTCATAAGAGGCAAAATAATTTCATGTTCGTTGCATTTTTAAGAGGATGTTTGTACAATGTATCCATGCGCAAATAATGGACAATGTATTCCTGAAGGAAATAGTCGTCGTTGTACATGTACACCACCCTATTACGGTGATGATTGTCGAGAAAGTAATAAAAATATAATGATAAAAAAATAAATGCTCATTAATCATATGTTTTTAGCTCATCGACCTAATCCATGCGATAATGTATATTGTGCTTATGGTCAATGTCGTGAAGGTATCTGTGAATGTCATGCAGGTTATACTGGAACACGCTGTGATATTCCTCCAGGTAAGTCTTCTTTTTTTTTATAATAATCAAAGGAAACAGATAAATAATAATTTAATATTTTTTATTCTAGCTGATCTTTGTGCTGGTATCAATTGTAATCATGGAACATGTTATGAAGGACGTTGTTCATGTCCGGAAGGTTACACAGGATATTATTGTGAAACTCCAAGTATGAAAAAAGAATTTCTTTTTAATGAATAAAAACTTATTTCTTTTTTTTTTTAATTTTTTTTCTATTAGTCGTAACAGTTCCGCCAATTCCATTTATTGCTGCAACATCACCTCGAGATCCATTACTAGCACCTATGATTGGTCCTAAGAAAGGTCAATTAATTGATTACGGCCGTGTATTAGGTGCTCGTGCTGGTCCAATTGGTTGGATATTAGCTATTGTTTCTGGTTTACTATTATTTCCACTTGCACTTGCTTTTGCTGCACGTAAATGTACACATGGAGCTTGTTTACCAGGTGGTGCTCGAGCTGGTTATGTACCAGTATTAACAGGCACATCAGGTGTAACACAAACTGAAAATGGTAAGGTTTTCTAATGTTGAATGATGTTTAATAAATGTTATTTATTTAGCCTTATATGCTGGTCCATCTAGTCGTACAACACGTGATCTTCAATTAATTGATCAACGTGGTGATAATTTAGCATCATCAGCAGCAGCCGGATCATCCGGTGGATTAGAAACAACACGAATTGAACAAACACGTGGTAAGTTTAGAACAAAAAAATTAACATTTAACATAGAATAGAAAGTAATAATTATCAAATTACAGAAATTGTTAGAGAATATGGCGGTATGGATTCCGCTGGTGGTATTTTTACTACATATCCAACACTGTCATCCCGATATGGTGACTTTGCACGCGATGCACATCATCAACAATCATCATCAGCTTATTCTCAACGTAGGAATATGCATGAATATGATTGTTGTATTGTTTATTATTCTTTTTCTGTTTCTTGCATGTTGCTTCTGTTGATCTTTTCAAATAGTTATTCTAATTTTTTTGTATTTCATTTATAGAACATGTCATTGAAACCGATTATCATGCACCACCTGTTGGAGATTTCGGTTATGGTCGTGGTGGTGTTGGTATGGATGGTTATCGTGATACATTTGAATCGTGGGAAGGTGCAGGTGCTGGCGGTGGTTATTCTATGAATGCTATGTTCGCTGAAGGTGGTTTACAAACTGATTATGAATTAAGTAATATTAATTCAGTTAGTATGACACCTAATGGAAAATATGCCATTGTTGGACAAAGTCAAGGTCCACCACAAATTTGGGATGCTGTGGTAAGAAAAATATTTTCTTGTTTGTATAAGATTATTTAAATTAAAAATTCCTTTTTTTTTCAAAGAATGGTCAACTTGTTTCCAGTATGCAAGGAACAAGTGTCAATTGTAGTAAAGTTGCACTAGCATGTAGTGGTACACTATTAGTTGGTTTAGCTAGTGATGGTGTTGATGCTCAACCATGTGTACTTCAAGTATGTCTTATTTTCTTACAGGAAAAATATATATATATATCTAAATTTTTCTTTAAAGATTTGGGATGTTAATACTGGTAAACCAGTTCAATTAACTCATCAAATAAAATGTGCTACATTTACATTAAGTAATAATTCAAATAATCTCGTTATGGCTGGTAACCAAAAATATGGACGTGGAATATCAGTTGGTATACTTGATTTAAACAACTCTGAATTAACAAAAGAAATAAAATCTGATACAAATCAATCTTATGGTGGTACACCATCAACTATAAGTTTAACACCTGATGAACGTTATGCTATTATTGGTTGTCCATCAGGACCATCATCAACAAATTATGTTGTTTTTGATTTAACAACACAACAAGAATTAATTCAACCACCAACTATAACATTAGATTCTGATCCAAAATGTTCAATTGTTTTAAATAATGAACAAATGTTAACTGGTACAAAGAATGGACAATTAGTTCTTTGGGATATACAATCATGTCAACGCGTACATACATTAAATGATAATGGACAAAATGCACATCGTGATCGTATAACAGATTTAAAAATATCACCTGATCGTTCATGTGTAGTTTCATCAAGTATTGATGGTACTGCCAAAGTTTGGGATGCAAATACAAAAGAACTTATTGCAAAATTGATTGGACATAAACGAGAAGTAAAAAAACAAAAGAAATATTCATTTTTTTTATTTGTCTTATTTAGATTACTTGTATATGTATATCAACAAATCAATTAGTAGCAACTGGTTCGAAAGATCAAAATATATGTTTATGGCGTTTACATACAGGTCAAATAGCATCAACAATGCCTGTTGGTATGACACCAGTTGATATTCATATGGCTGCACATAATCGAACAATAGTTGCCATCGGTGACAAAGATGGTGAAAGACAATTATTAATGCTTCGTGTTGTATCTGTACAACGATAAATTTTCTACGCAAGCAGTTGATCACGATTCCTACTTCTTTTTTTATATTATGCATTGGTGCTGCCTACTATTATTAATTAAACAATTTTTTACTCTCCTAACCGCTCATCATCGCTTCGAACAGTTGTTGTTTTGTTTTTTTT